GCTTCCCCACATTGCATGGTCAAAACGACCGAAAAAGTTTAGGCCCTTATCAGCCCTGATAGGGTTCAACTTTTGTCTGACGTCACAGGTTGTCCAGTGGGCGTATACTGTGCGTTTGTTTCGAGCTAAAGGTTCCCCTGAGAAGTTGGCTTCTCCACATTGCATGGTCAAAACTAGCGAATAAAGTTGAGGTCTCTATCACCCTTGATAAGGCCAAACTTTTTTCTGACGTCACAACTTGTCCCGTGGGCGTACTTTACGTTTGTTTCAAGCTAAACGTTCTCGCAAGAAGTAGGCTTCCCCACAATGTACGGTAAAAACTGGCGAAAAATTTTGAGGCCCTTATCAGCCCTGATAAGCCTCAACTTTTTTCGCTCGTTTTGACCATGCGTTGCGGGGAAGCCAACTTTTCAGGGGAACCTTTAGCTCGAAACAAACGCACAGTATACGCCCACTGGACAACCTGTGACGTCAGACAAAAGTTGAACCCTATCAGGGCTGATAAGGGCCTAAACTTTTTTCGGTAGTTTTGACCATGCAATGTGGGGAAGCCAACTTCTCGCGAGACCGTCTAGCTCGAAACAAACGTACAGTACGCCCACGGGACAAGTTGTGACGTCAGAAAAAAGTTTGGCCTTATCAAGGGTGATAAAGACCTGAACTTTTTTCGCTGGTTTTGACTATGCGTTGCGGGGAAGCCAACTTCTCAGGAGACCGTTTAGCTCGAAACAAGCTTACAGTACGCCCACGTGACAAGGCGTGACGCCAGACAAAAGTTGGGGCTTATCAGGGCTGATAAGGGCCTAAACTTTTTCGGTCGTTTTTACCATGCATTGTGCGGAAGCTAACTTCTCAGGGGAAACTTTAGCTCGGAACAAACCCACAGTACGCCCACGGGACAAGCTGTGACGTCAGACAAAAGTTGAACCCTATCAGGGCTGATAAGGGCCTAAACTTTTTCGGTCGTTTTGACCATGCATGGCGGAGAAGCCAACTTTTCAGGGGAACCTCTACCTCGAAACAAGCACACAGTATGCCCAAGTGACAAGCTGTGACGCCAGACAAAAGTTGCTCATTTTCAGGGGTGATAAGGACCTGAACTTTTTTCGCGTTTTGACCATGCATTGCGGGGAAGCCAATGCATCAGGAGCCCTTAGGCTTGGAGCAAACGCATAGTACACCCTCCACGGCAAGGTGTGACGTCAGGCAAAAGTTGAACCTTGTCAAGACTGATAAGGGCCTCAACTTATTTTGCTATCAGGGACCATGCATTGTTGGGAAGCCAACGCATAAGGGAAACCCTTGGCTCTGATTTCTCCTACTGAAAACACCATTGACCCGAAGACCCGAAACAATAAGGTATGGTGAGACGTTTGCTTGATCAAACGAACTGGGCACATTATTGCCTATTTTCGCTACGCTGAAAACATTGTTGTACGGTCTGTTGTTTTTCAGCGTAGATGTGCAGAGCTTCGGCACCCAACGCAATCAATGACAAGACTTGCTTGTCCGTCCATTTTTGTCACGTAGAACGAAGACAAACAATAAAAAAACGAGAAAATCTGCTGCTTATTTTTTATTAAATAAAAAATAAACTCTCATGCGGAGTTAGGGGTCGAACCTAGCCCCTCCACTCTGAAAGCGAGCATTTTAAGCGTTACGCTATACGCCGACACCTGCAAAGCGCAATTGCATCTTAGCCACGTAACTACTGTGTACTGGTAATAATAATAATAATAATAATAATAATAATAATAATAATAATAATAATAATAATAACAGTTTCTGCACCGTGTCGACGAGCAAATTGCGAGCCAGCCCGTCCCTCTGTCACGTATCGCTGATGATCACTATAAGTACAAGTATGAAACAATAAAAAGATAGTCGCACGGAACTTCCTTTGTCAACTTCGTTAGCTATTAGCCAAAAGCCGAGAAATGTGTCAATAAACGAATAATAAAAATATCTGTCGTTTCAAGTGAGTATCGAAAACAGGCCTTCTGCTTCGCAAGGATGCGTTAGAGAATAGAGCGTCGTCTTTCCGGGAAACCGTTTAGGGAGCAACACCATGATAGTCATCTTACCCTTCCGCCTCCGTTGAAATGCAGCCACCACGACGGGAGTTCAATCCCGCGACCTTCGGGTCAGCAGAGCACCTTGCCTACTAAATCACCGTAGTATGGTATATCATATAAAAAGAAAGCCGAAAACAGTGGTTGCCTGGTAGGAGATGTCGCATTTGCCACTCGAGATAAACGTGCCTTGGCGACTGTTTGTGCGTCTTGGGTTACTATACGAGCGACGGAAGTGGGCTGGCCGTGCTTTCGGCAACTGTTTTTAGTTGCGGTAGACGTGTCATAGCTTTATCGGGCTGTAGCTCTACTCACGGCTCTAAAGAGAAAGATATGCAAGGGAGAAAGTCTACATGGCCCATTCACAGCGTGTAAATGGCCGTATACACACCGAAGCTCTGTATACGTGATGATTCCCTTGCGGCATTCCTTGCAGCGACCCTTGGTGCCCTCAGTAGCACCCTGAACCCTTTCTTGCTGCGTTGGCCCGGCTTCGTGATTTCACGTCTCTCCGTGAAACGCGCATTTCAGTCTCTCCCCTCGTTCTCGGGCATCGCTCCGAGAGCTCGCAACACGGCGTCTTTGGCGTGGTTGCGTCGGTACGAGCTCTAGAGAGCTCGTCAGATACCGTGAATACGCCGCAATATATTTAAATAAACGAATAAAAAACATTATCAAGGAGCTTTCCGGCTCTTGCGCCGGAAGGAAGCGGCCCTCTCTGGAGGGGAATTCATATGCGTCTCTCGCCGCCTGGCCCCTCGTAACCAGCTGCAGCTGGTATTCCAGAGCGCACAGCAAGATCTTCCATGACTATACCTAAGGGGTGGAACAGTGTGGGGGAGCACGTTGGGAGTAGGCTGAGGGAAGAGTGGTGTCGGGTGCTTTTCGATGAATATATATATATATATATATATATATATATATATATATATATATATATATATATATATATATATATATTATGTGTTCAAGGGTTCCTGGTTCTTGGCACAAGGGCCATCCTTGGCTGCGTTCTACGCAGTGCAGGAATGTTTGTATCTGTCCGCTGCTCCCTCGTCAACTTTGGATTTATAATGTCTGCGCTTACACACGACCGGTCAAAGCTAAATTACCTGCTCTGCTGGATCAGCCATTGTACTTGCTTGGAATTTTGGCGTACGCCGACTACGAATGCACAGGCACAGGTAGACCTCACGTGCACGTTATAATGCGTCAGTGAAGTTTTAAAAAAAAAGAGGCTTTTTTTTCGTTCACACTCAACATCATGCCCCTCAGACGGGCCACGACATCGCTTCGACTTCTGGTTTCCTCAGGAGCGGTGCCACCATTTAATCTGTGGGGGAAAGGGGCATCCGTCTTTCATAAATAGTTTCTCAAGGCTCCAAAAATGTTCTTGTCATTACATGTTACGCAAGAGAGAGAGAAAAAGGAAGGCCAGGAGGTTAACCAGATATTGGCACCTGGTTTGCTACCCAGCTCTGGGGGTGGGGAAACAGGGGCAAGAAAGAGGGGGTAGATAGAGAGAAAGAAAAACGCACGTGCATTCATGAGAAAACGAAAACACACACAGGAAGGGCGTACTGGCTACAACCGTTCAGAAAGGCCACTCGATCGCAAAAAGTGCAGTAGCGCTTTCAGGGCCTTCTTCTGTGAAGTTGCATCTTGTCGATATTGTAGAATTCTTGCCTCCGACAGAGGTTTGTTATCTAACTTGCCGAGTTCCTTGCGAAGGCATAGTCGTTGTCAACTATACTCTAGGCAGTCACAGAGAATATGTTGGATGGTTTCTTCTTTGCCACAGTGGCCACGGGCTGCGGTGTCTCCCATCTCAATGCAGAAAGCGTAGGCGGTACGGTTAATTGGCAACGGGAGCGACGTGAATATTTTTTTATTGGGGCAAGTAGGCGCGGAACTTATCGGCTGTATATTGGACACGCTTGCTTTTATGGGAAAAGGGGTGGCTGAGGGAGGCAGGGAGGGGAGCAACTCCTCTTCGATGGCGGCGCCCCTAATTGGTAACTGCCAGTAACTATAAAAAGCAAAACTTATCTTTGCAAAAGCGTTTTCATGACATGCGACAATGGCTTCGAGAGAGTTCGGGGCATTTCAGCCGACAAAACACTTTCAGCACCTCAACCGATTCTCTACTACCAAATAGCTCTACTACCAATTAGGAATACCTCAAACCAACATCAAGTTTGCACTCAGACCTGAGGTGCTCAGTTCAATAATTATCAGAGCAGGTATGAAAGAGCTGTACGACTATAAAAAGTAATATCAAAGAGCTGTATCAGAGACTGCCCGAAAAATTAAAGAGCGTTTATGTACGCCGACCCCGAAAAGGCTGCTTTACAAGCGACCACAGAGGAATATCGGACCTCATCACGGCAGAGATGTCGATTCAAAGTGGCGAGATTGAATTCAATTTCAAGCTGTAGACTTGCCCACGAACATCCGTATCGGACAATGTCCATTTATCCACCTATTGTTGAAAGTACTAATTGAACATGTCCACACAAGGGAGTGGGTAGGGGGCAAACAAAATATCATGCTCACCTTGATTGTTCCGTTTTGAGAGCAGATCAATATTATTGAACATTGGGCATCACCGGAATCAACATTTCGACAAGCACTCTTGTCCACGTCCCTCATTCTCCATTAAGATACGACCACTTGTCGAAACAACTCCAGCAACACCCAGTGTTGAATATTTCCCTTGTATACCCCATATCCTGATCATCTGCTTTGGCTTTCCATCTTGTGAATGTCGTAACGTTTACGCAACTTATTGTTCCAACGTCCAGTAAACTATTTTATGAATGACTCGCAGAGCAACGCTCTTTGGGGCATCGGACTTGACGTAGCAGTCAAGGCAGCACAAAAGCACGACTGGCTGAGCACCAAAGAGCGCTAAATAAGAAAACCTAACACACAATGTACGTTTTATTAAGATGAATTGCAGCAACTACAGATTTTTTTGAAACAAAGAATGTAAACAAACACAATAAGACAAGTCCCTTGACAAAGACTCTGTTCAAAAACCGCACGAATAGTGAAGTCACATATATGGCAGTTATATCGAAATTCACACTTTACGGGGCAAAGACAGCATCTGGTAGTACTGTGAATTAGAATTAGCAGCACATTACTGCTAAATACTCTCAATCGAACAAGCCATATGTAGCAACATGTCTTGGCCGTAGGAAGAAAAGCGCTAAATGGTAGAGGCCTAAAAGTACTTGGTAGATGTGGAGCAATGGAAGACATTGTACAACTGGAAATGTGCAGAACAGCATAATAAGACATTGAGCAATCAATATCTGTGAACATCAGGATGTCGCACTAATAGGGACTAAAGTGAATCTTGCCTCTTACTAGACTGCAACAAGAGAACATAATTTCCTCCTCAAAGGCGGTCGCACACAAGCCTGCACCAATGGGCATGTGCTCTGGTGGTCAACAACCAGTCATTTCGTTCGATGACATTGCCGACTGCATGAACAGGACTGTTTCTTCAGTCACCGACACGACCAGTGGCCATGTTTTAGTTACCTGGGCAGCGCTTCTCCAGTCTACTGGAGCGCCATCCTACTACATAGTGATCGACAGGTTTAAGAAAGTTTATTCCCCGCATTTATTTTTATTCCAGTAATATAATGGTGAACATTTAGAGCTTGCAAAAACCAACAGGTTGGGGCAATTGTCTGCGAATTGCGCGAGGCTCGATCCACCAGACCACCACCCTAAAGGCTAACCAAAAAAAAAAGCCTCTTTGAAAACATTCAAGAGGCAATAAGAAGGACGTACTTAGGATCTCTTGATTGGCAATCAACATTCTAGAACTTTCGCTAGAGAAACTTTACTCAAAAAGTACATATTGTCCTCGGGTACGTGTATCTGTTTTCTACAAAAGCATACAGAAGAAAACTACTTCAACAGACTGAAGGAAAACGGCAAACACTAGTACCATATATGTCGAAACATATTCCAATACTACTGCGAGGTTTTTTTTTTTTTGCCGTAATTATGGCCCACCCCCACATTTTTCTATAGGGGAAATGTGGGAGTGGGCGATAATCACAGCAAGCAAAATAAATAAATCCAACACAAATGTACGATTTGTTACATAGTTGTTAATTTAACTTCCACACATATATAGAGCACTCGAAATTGTAAATATGCTTCTTTCTAAAATGTCTTACAGCTTCTCACAAACTGTTCAGGTGAGACTTAAAGACAGAAATGATATATGTGATTTGTTTTTCATTGATCATTGAAAGGAATGCTTTTTTTTTTGTTTCGCTGGAACCACATTAGTGTAAAATTTCTAAATAAGGATTGTGTTGATGTTTTTCTAACTTACTATGCCACCCCACTTTTTGCCCAGTCTTCTAGTATCTAAAATTCATTGATTCTCCTTGTGGGGGCTGGGGTAGTATTGCCATTAATGAGCACTATATGCACCTGTAGACTTGCATACATTCTGTGAACTGTACTTGCTTTAGAATAAGAAGAATATTTGGATAACTTTTAGTATATGCCAGTATTATACAAGATGGCATGCAGTTGCAGAAGTGAAATGTAAGATTCACCAGAACTATTTCAATACATATGAGCAAAAACTATACTCGCACGACCGAAGAGCGCAACAACATTTTCAAAAACAAGATATCTCTTGAGTTTTTAATTATGATTCCACTTTTTTTTTTTGCGCAGATTCACCTAGGAAATGGCATATTCATGAAGAAGGAGAAATGGGCATGGCTGCTTCTGCGTCCGAGAGACAGCTTGTTCTGCAAGGAGGCGACCAAGCTTCTGTGGGGTGTGAGTGCCCTCCACAACAGGAGCATCACAGGAGCCCCTTGTCGGCGCTACGTCCGTTCCGAGAACCAGGCACCACCCAGGAGGGCACTCACACCTAAGAAATTGGAGGCAGTCGGAAGTAAGTGTTTCATGCTTAGTATATTTTGCTGAATTTAGGGACAATCAACTTTACCAACTATATGAACCAGTAAGTCCCTAATTGCTACACATTCCTGATCATTTGGTTTCGCAGCAATGTACTTGCTGAAGGCATCTGTAAAAATGAAGTGGCAGCAATTGACAGGCTAAGGAAGATGAACCGCTTCATTGCTGAAACGTTGAACGACATAAATAAATGAGTCGTCAAACCATTACTCTAGCCTGATCGTGTTTATTTGATATCATTGCAGCATACCTACGTTACAGTGTTTATTTTACTGTGTGCTTCATGAACTGGCATGCCTTTCTTAATACATTCTTTTGCTGCATGTCAATTTTGACCCAAATAGCTAATCCAACCCATATCGCCTGCATAACCTGTAATACCCATACATTCGTTACACTTATACCACCTGTATGACTCGTGCCGCCTGTATGACCCGTAACACCTATATGCCCCGTATCGAATAACATCGTATGTGCGGGTCCTGTACATGTAGGAATTTCCAGTAGGGATATACAGTTGCATTATGCTCCTTTTGGCATATTGATGCTCTTGCATGTTTACTGGCGCGGCGAAGCAAGACCACAACATGCAAAGCTGCATGCCGAGTTGAAAAGACAATACCAGCAGAAATACTAACGGGTATTTGGGTTAAGCTCGCGGACTATAATCAGGTAACCAAGTGTTAGCGACAGACCATATACGAGGCTGCAGAAGCTCTAAGCAGAATAGCCGAAGCAACCACTCTAAAGATCTGTCACCCGCACGTAACGATGCTTCACCTGAACCCCTTTAAGTTGAACAAACGAAAAGGTGTCGAGCACGTGCACAATATAACCTCAAGACAACCAAAGGAGCACCAAGTTGAGTAGTGGATGGGCGAAATTGAAGATAATAAGATGCGCAACTAACACGTGCAAACACAACACGCACAGAAGAGAGCCTATCATGCAACACAAATTGATAGAAGATTTTAACCAAGTTGACCGCTTTCGATGCAGAATAAAGCAAAAGAGCATCTATACGCCACTGCATTGCACTGTGTGAATGAATGTATCATGGTTAAGAAAAACATGCAGATGGGTTGACAAATTGTACTGAAGTCGAATGTGGTGGTTACATGTCGAAACGTTGCAAGAAACGTCGCGCTTTTGTAATTTAATGAACAATATGGGTCCTACATATTGAACAGTCACTAAAAACTAGATTTTCTGCATGATGGCCGAACAGCGTAACATTTAGAGGCGTAATAATCTGATCCTTGAGGTTATCCATAGAACAGCACTGTATGATAACACTGATGTACACCCACGTGAGAATGTTTCGCAGCATTCCGTGGGCAGCTGGTAGATCCGGAATCGGGTCGCATGCTTGACGGGGCAAGGTAAGATGCAGGCCGTTAACCTCTCTTCATCCGCCATAGGCGAAAGCGCAGTGATGAGAAGGTACATAGAAGGGAGTCCCCAAACAAAGACAGAAGGGCAGACCATGTTGATGGGCTTTGCTGCGCGACGCATTCCCCAGAAGGCAAGCAAAAGGCAGGAACCCGTAGCTGGCTCGTTGTGGACGAAGGGATAGCATGGCCACAGTCTCCCACTGAGCGTCCGCCGGATGAGATCGAAGATCGAAAAGCTGCAAGCACACCAATAATTCATGTTTAGGTGTCGTGCAGATGCACAAGGGTACGTGATCCGTGATCTTGCGTGTACAGCAACGCAAGATCACGGGTAATCCAATATTTTAGACAAGACAAATACGAATTCATGCTTCACCTAGGAATGGAATAACTAAGGAGATATTTCTTTTTATACAACAGGTACAGCGTCGGACGTGATGATAGGAAGTTGTGGGTTCTAATCCCAAGGACAGAAAAAGAATTCTTCGTCCGCCTTAATTCGCTTAAACTGAAGCCATAATTGCCACACCCGACAGTTCAATACAATGTTCCCCATGATTTTCTTGTGCTCATTGTCCGATTCATTTGGTTGAATCTAACAATGAAATGGGGCACTATGAAAACAACTAGCAGAGCGAGGTTTCCACTGCGAATGAACTAAATAATACATTACGTCAGCATATTAGTCATGAGCCGTCTCATGCAAAGTCACGTCACACACTCTGGTAAAAAAGTTTCACTGGCTACCTTTCCTAAAAGTGGCGCTGGCTAACACCTTTAGAGACACCCGACTAAGTCGATGGGGATACTCCCATCAAAGTTAGACTGATAGAGCGGCGGACATGTACTTTGAAGGTTGTGGGGGTCAGATCCAACAGATAGACTGGGTGCTTTTTGTCCTCTTTGATTCAGTTTTATTTCCATTATTACACTACGATTGAGTAAATAACGTCAGCTACGCTTTTCTTGCCTTGTCTGTTCATTAGTTTACACAAGTTTACGAGGAACACCACATGCGTTCCCCGTAAACTTGTGTCCTCGGCAAACTGCGTTTGGCCGAGGAAATGTAGCTATCTTTAGTCTGCAAGTTGCGAAAGCTTACAATTTAACAGTACAAATTCAGAGTCATAGCCAGTGTCCCATTAGCATATGTCTGCACCAGTGTGCTCAATTGCGACGATATTGTCCAGTGGTTGAATTACCAGTTACATGCATTGCGTATGAGAAGTCGCACCCATGAAACACCTAGTGCAATTATCGTGGCGAGCACACTTATACACGAAAATGTAATCGGCAGGCCAAAAGCGTGCATTTGCACTTTGCTTGATCATATTTACACTTCAGTGTAGTTGGGCAGCGTAATGGCAGCGTAAGCAGCGTAATGTACTAAAATAGAAAGTGCAGGAGATACAGAAATTGGCTAAAGTGGGGAGGCGGTCTGTTAATGAATTCGACCCGATCAGCACATACTGAAGTTCTTGTCGCCTGGGCATATATATATATATATATATATATATATATATATATATATATATATATATATATATATATATATATATATATATATATATATAGGCTTATCTTAAGGTTTCCATCAGGGATGCACCAGCCACGATGCGATTGCGGCGGTCTTCTTCCTGTTGCACCATTTTGCGGGCTGTCTGTGACAAGTTACGGCAGCCGACTTTCATGGAGCCTTTGGGCAAGGGCACACTGCTGACGATGCATGCGATTGCCTTGCACCAACCAAACCATTTAAGAATTTCAATAAGGAATGTTTACCAGGCTCACATTATCTTAAACATATACCGTGTAGTGCAAGCAGCGGACAGCGGGTACAGGTATGCAAACACATGAACATCTTTTTGCCGACACACGCACATTCTTTTTGAAGTCCGCTATCAGTGCATGAGCGAACAGGGTGTGTTGGTATTGCATGATTTGGAAATAGAAGGCACAAAAAAAGACTACAGAATAATAGAGAGACACCCACGAAAAGGGGGGTGTCGTGCGCGTGCCCCTTTTCACCCGTTGTCATTGCGCCTACTATATATTTTCAACGATTCTCGGTGCCGCTTTCACACAGGGAAGTTTGAACAACCTACCCACAGGCGTACGCCGGGTTCCCTTCAGGTTAGGGGAGTTGTTGCGGCGCCGCCCTCCGCTATGAAATCAATGTATGAGGTAAGACCGTGCCCCTCTTTAGGGACCAGGAAGACTGCCAACCTCTTGCCCCCCTCCACAGTGGCGTATCAACTCTTTCGCGAGGGAGGGAGGGGCAAACAACTTCACTCGTGTATATATCGATATCTGTGTATAGCTTTAAAATGGCTGCATTTTCGATGGAGGCAAATATGATGTTGGACCATGTGCTCAAATTTGGGTGCTCGTTCAAGAACTCAAGGTGGTCGAAATTTCCGGAGCCTTGCACTACGGCGTCTTTCATAATCATATGGTGATTTTGGGACGTTAAACTCCACATAGCAATCAATCAACTCACGACCATTCATTGAGCATGCACGTACACTAACCACTACACCACACCACGCTACAGAACACGCTGAAATGAAACAGGCTTGTGTAGGCACCGATAATTCGTCTGCACACGGCGCTAAAATGCTTGCAGTTACCTCAAAGAACGGGCGCTTTACTCCAGAAAAAAAGGAAAGTGACCCTCCTTACGGTGCCATGTGCAATTATTTGTGCACATTTTGTCTTTTGGAGGAGCAAAGCCCTCTTCGTGGTAACTGCGCAGTTACTCTGTAAAACTTTTTAGAGTAAGTGCGCGTGTACATCTCCGTGAGCTCATCTTTGCTGAGAGAAAAAGAGAACTAAGCAGCGCTGCCCGTGTGTGGTTCTTTTCTGTCAAAGTTGTATTTTGAGCTGTAAGAGAATTCAAGTTGAATGAAAACTCAAACCTTCATCGCACAAAAAGCCATGGTATTTTACCTCCCTGGACCGGTGGGTGAAGCTGCGGGATAAGCATATGAGCTGAGCTTCCCACTGTACTGCTTTATTCTTCACCCTTTGCAAACTGCTGCCAATGCTCCTAGAGACTATAAAAGCGCAAACCTTTTTGTGGCCTAGTATGGCAGAACTATAAGTATTTCAAAAGATTCGTCACAATCATCGGCTCACAGCAGCTTCAACAGAGCAGCGATGACACTATTCATTTTTGATGGAAGAAAAACAAATTATTGAAGCAGCAAATGCTATGACTGTTCCATAAAACTATTGCTCGTTCCCATTCATAACAAAGCAAGTACAAGACGCCTATGCCCCTCCCCTACACTCTCAAGGCGCATGCCTAGGAACCCAGCCCTACAGCAATGCGTCTAGGCTCGCGCAGATCACGAAATTCCCACAACTCGCCATCTATCATCTGCTAAGGTATAATTCCAAGAGGTGGTCAGACCAAATGCGGAAGAATATTTAATTACATGAAGGCTCACTAACGCTTGGAGATATGCAAACACGGACCGTGAAAGCAATCGCCAGAAAAAGAAATGCACTTGCCAAGTGTGATGAGTGAAGAAAACGACAACGACGGAAGTGCGGGGCAAGGCGCGTGTAATGTGTGCGTGAGTGTCAGCGAATCAGCTCATGACCTGTGGTGGCCCATAGAGGTGGCGTGCCACGATTGGGCCACGGGCGACCATCACGTGGCAGTGGGCTTTGTGGCTAGGGACGAGCCGAAGCAGCGGCAGACGGGAGACAGCGGGCCGAAGCGTCGGACGCAGGCGATCCAGGTTCCGGCCAGGCCAACTACCAGGTTCCGGCCAACTACCAGCTGGGGCGGCGTTGCCGGCACGAGTACTGCATCTCGGAGCGCGGCCTGGCCTGCTGTTCTCTTCCTTGCCGAGGGCATCGCGGATCTCGGCGAGGCGTCTCCACGGTCAGCCGTTCGACACAGCGATGAACGTGGCCTGGCTAATGGTCACGGTTGCGTCGAGCATCGCGTCTCGGCGCACGCTCTTCGCTGTACGGGCTGGCCATGCCCCGCATGGAGCATCGCGTCTCCGATGCGGGTTGACTGCTCCGTGGCCGCACCCACGCCGTCAAGCGCCGGTGTCACCAGAGCGTCGCACTTCGGCAAGGGACGAGCGAGATGTTCTGCCGGGCGAGACGCGGGAGTGCGCACAGAGGAGCACGGAGCCGGGCGAGGATTCGGGGTGGCCGAGGATCCAGGTGCCAGGGGAGTTCTGGCTGAATCGAGGATCGCCGAGCAGTGCCGAGCCGTACCGAGCGACGCGCCAGACTCGGACGCGGGCCGCGAGCTCATGAGCTGCAGTGTGCACCCGAGGGTACCTGGCGGTGCCCTGGCCAAGAAGAAGGAACGTGCGGAAAAGAGAGCTCGAGGGGTGAGGCCATGAAGGCAGAGGAAGCGGTGCGCCACTCGAGAGGACGAGTTCCTGGCAGCGTTCCTGAGCCGGACGTGAGACCCGTACGTGTCGGCCAGGTCGAGCTCCGGTGTGTCTGTTCGAGTTCCAAGGCCGAGACCTGCTGAACGGCTCCTGCCTGGGTGCAGTGGCCGGGAGCAGGTTCGTGGACGAGGCCTACCGGGTGTGGTCCTCGTGAGCCGTGGCCTGATCCTGGACCTCCGGAGTTGCGACCCTGACTGCTGGGTTGGCCGCGACGTCCGACTCAACGGCGCTGCACACGGTAGCGTATCCGTGCGCCGTCAGCCGTTCCACCCATGCCATGAAATAAAAAGTTCATGTTAATCCTTTCTCTTCCGATATCAACAAACATAGTGACGAACGTCCGTTAACCATCACACCAAGTCACTGCAGGCCGCTAAGTGGATAGATCCAGTGTTCCAATGAAGGACGTTCGACCGAGGAGGTTCAGAAAGCAAAAACTTGGCGACGTATGCAAAGGATGGGTGAGACTGTCAGTTTCATGCACGAGACGCCATGATTAGCAATCTATAGGAGAAAATAGAACAACCTGTTAATCGTGAGCCATGATGCACGTGCTTTACAAGTTCGCCGACAGACACCAACATCTAGCTTTAACACCAAGTTTAGAACACCACGTGGCACAGCGAGATCAATTATATATGCTCTCATACATTGCAAAGGAGGAAGCTTGCAGTTGAATTGAGTATACAGCGGACTGAAAATATCAGGAAAAGGCAGATGCAGCAATAGTACAATTTGTTATAAAATAAGCTGTGTTAATAGTAGCGCTTGGTTGTGCTACTATTATAAAACTTTTGCAAGGCTAAGCCAATTTTTAATAGAAGTGGTCTGCCCACTTCAATCCTTCCTTCACTCGCTTGAAAACAGGGTCCCCAGTACTCAAGCGTGCGCAGGGTTCTCCTTTAGGGGGAGGAAGGATTCGTCGCAGCGCTTCCACCTCCCCGTTTCTTTTTTAATTTATGGGACAGACCGCGTCTTTCCTTTTAGGCGACTATAGGGGCGAGCGGCCTCCTACAGTCTTAGCCACATGAGTTGCCCTATTCGAAACGGCGAGTGCAGTACATATGCTTAATCGAGTCATTGTACTTATTCGAGCAAAGGTCCATAAGAACGCAGTGCATGGTTGCCAGCAGGAAGTTGAAACGCTGCCTCTTGGGGAACTTCTTCCATGGAGCAAGGGCTGGATGACGTACAAGTACCTGTGGGATCGTCACTTGCGTGTGCCAGGTGCGAAAATTGGCAAGCGGGAAGGAACAGTCAGCCACCGTCATGTTTCTGGATCGATGTATAATACTCCCTGGATTGAAAAGACCCCGGAATTCAGGCATACTATTACAATTGGCATGTGTTACTGCTAGGTAACTGCATGATGCCACTAAGAAAGCGGCTACTACAGGTAATGTTGACTGGTGCAAGTGCTCACAGCGAAATCGAGAGAGTGTGGCGCAAACTGAGGACTGGAAACAGGTTTGTGTGCTGCTCAACCCTAAATTTCCACATTTGATTTATTGGAACATTACCCTTGTGAATGTATGGAAAACTAGGAGATTTAGTAAAAATGATAAAAAGTCAGAATGCACACAGCTCACAGACTCAAGGAAAGAAGACAATCGCTGTCTCAGCAGTTTAGTAGTGTGTGCTATTATAACCAAATCTTTTTGCGTAAAGAAGGATGCAGATATGAAGTGAGTCACTGAAATAATTAACCGGCAAATTAACTGATCGTTTTACACTTTCTGTTGCATACTTTTGGTATTTTCTGGGTTCTTTTCAAGCACTGTTTAGGAATTTTCGTACAGCATGTGCGCTCTCGGTTAGCGTAGATGTGCATACGCGCCTGCACTTTTCACCAATAAACTGATTTGAGTTTGCGCTTGTTTGTCTTCTACCCTTGCTGCTCTAGTCTTGTCAACGTGTGCTTAAGCCAGCAGTTTACTGAAAGTGGGACATGTCCCACTGACTTGTGAAAGTTCAAAAAGTGGGAAAGCACTGTGCCCACTGCCTCATGAAGGCGCCATGTCGTGATCGACTCAACGGGTTCTTGGAATGAAACGGTCAAAGCACGCGGCGCATAGCATTTCTTAAATTGTGAAGAGAAAAGCGTGGACCTCATTTTTTCGGAGGGCTACCAGCGGCAGATGAGCCTTTTGTGAGCCTTTATATGGCTCTATTCTTTTCCTGTAAAGCTTAATTTCCCACATGCACCAACTTTTTTTTTTTCCTGTAGAAACCGTCTACCACAGCTGTTGTCCCCTATCGCGTGCTAACTCTAAGAGGCATATCATGTAAAGAAAACTATTTCAGAGTATAAATATTTGCTATTGCAGGGATAAGCGGGGCAATTTCGCAGGAAGTTGTTCGTATGCATTTATCGGTGAAGTTGAGCAAATTTACAAAAAAAAAAAACACGTGATAGGAAGCTAAAATGACCTCTCAAAAAACTAAAAAGAAAAAGAAAAGTATCAAGCATTTGTATTGATATAGTCTATCGGAAGAGGAAAAATCGGAAGCTATATATCAAAATTCATCATCACAATGCTACTTCCGTCCTTTAAAAACATGCACACAGAAGAAAAATGTGGGACGTATGTGAGATCAATACTACCAAGACAGACTGCCCATGTAAAGGGAATGAGCCGAAGAGTACAGATGGGCTGTTGCGCGTACGGTGTAGGCTCACGGCCAGGTAATTGCCACTAGCTGTCACCAAAGAGAAGTGAAAAGCCATTGCACTTGACCAGTTCTAACATATGGGGCACAAAAATGGGGAACAACGAATAAGCTCTTTTTAGACAGAACACAGAATGCGAAAAAACGAAAAAGGTAAGCGCCATTTAAGGAAGGTTTCATTGTGAATCAATATTAACTTGGGCAGAGATATCGCCCATATTTATAGAAAGAAAGTGACCAGGGCAAGTCAAGCCATGAAAAGGACAGATAACACTGGTGGTTGATTAAAGCGGCTGCATGAAAACAAGCGTGTGCAAGTGGAGCGGCAAGTTAGGTGGAGCGACGAAGTTGGAAAATTTACGAGCATAAAGTGGAATCTAAGTGCAGTAAACTGTTCATTGGAAATTGTTAACGGCACGCCGACATTTGACGCAGGATCTTAGAGTTCTACTCTGAAGCACGAAGTGAGCCTTACTGGTTAAAAGATGCAGCATTTCTCTGTATAAGCTGCTGGCCCGGAAGAGGCGCTGCAACGCCTAACTCGTTCACGAATATAGGTTGATAACACGCATTTAACGAGATAAGATCAAACAGTGCTAGGTGCTATAGATTATGATAGAAATACAGACTGACAGTGTGCTGTCTGTCGTTCTATTACCGTCACTGGTCCAATACTGTTCGCCTTGGCCTACAAGCTCAGTTAGATGCACTCGTGCATGTACCGTTTACTAGGTGTTGCCAAGGCGCTGTATTTCCTTAACGCGTGTAACTAAGGTCGTTTCTCTCTTAAACGTATACGCCCCTGCCATTGTCGGCAGTGACAACCGTAGCGTTCTTGCCTTAGTTTTACGTATCAGTGCCCGCCATGTCACTATGGTGGGCGTCATGTATATTAGCACGCTGCAACATGCCCGTGGTAACCTTTGAGGGAACGATGGCATAATTAAATTGACCACACTAAAAATTTCCCCTTGTTTAATTTAGTTTTGGAAATATTAGAAAGTGCTTACTCAGGAAGTACCGGGAGGGTGCCCATCAGGAGTCTCTGCAGTTGCAGCACAGGGTGTGTGGAAACAGTTTGTCCTCCTGGGTAAAAGCAAAATGAAATCAATTCCTTCAGGCGCAACGTACGCTTTTCGATGCAACTCATTTGCCCCTTTCATGGGGCTTGAGGCAAAGAAAGAGAGATACAATACCGAGGTTCTGAGCTAGTTGGTCTGTACTCATCTTGAAAGACTGCGCATCCAAATACAGACCTAAGGAGACCCCACAAATGCCGATTGTGACACCGAGCCTAAGTGCTAGCTTTATCAATGCAACGAGTAAGCTGCCTGTGCACTATGGTGGGTGGCTGAATTTTGGGACTCTTCAGTGAACAGTGGCTTTGACAAGGCTTGAAACAAGATGGCCCTACGAGTGTAATTTAGCACTCTTTACGGGAATACGAGAGACATTCCTACTCGACGCAATGCCGTCAGCACGTTCGCCACAGACTCCGTCGGCGATGGTGCGGAAGAAGCGCTTAAGTGGCACGGGACGTGTCGGTACGCACAGTATCAATTTTTTATGAAAGGAAATATGGGAGCGAGTGGCCTGCGCGTTCCGGCGGCTGCTGGCAGCGCGTTCAAGCGGGAGCGAGAGCAATCACAGCCTCTTTTCGCGTCATCTAGCGGCGAGCGAAACAACTATTCGTTGCTGATATGGAACCAGCAAGAGCCGGTAATCGCCTTGAGAAAGGAGGGGGTTGCAATCTTGCAAGCGGTTTCCCATAAGCACTGACATCTTGTTTTGCTCGCCGCGAGATGACGCGAGAAGAGAATGTGGTTGCTATCGCTCCCGCTTGAACGCGCTGCCAGCAGCCGCTGGAGCGCGCAGGCCACGCGTCACCGTATTCCCTTAAAAAAAAAAAAATGACACTAGGGAGTTTTAGTGCTGGGTACGCATTCTCTTGGGGCGTTTCGGGCTTGGGAGCGCGCGGCGTTGCGTGCCCAACCCATACCCAACCAGAATGCCTTTTAGTTGGCGCCACGGTGGCACGCACGCAAACGCAAGCCGCACGAAGGTCACACGCGCTCGCAGCGCCATAGCGTCTTGTCGCGTAAGTATTATTTAAGACTTTTTATGATAGAAAATGTTAAATTAAACATACATAGTGATCAGGACACTTTTTGTTGTGTACAGTAATCTGGTATACGCAAAAAAATGAAAAATACAAGGTTACTGTAACGACAGTGTCGACATCTTGTGACACTTCGTGCAACCGCAGTCATGAACATGTTAGCTTACGCGTAATGTTTTTGAAGTGAAAATAAATAAAAAGGTTACTCATTTGTAATATTGTCGCTGCGCAGTTTTTGTACCAGATGTACAATGCACAATGTTTCTGCAATAACAAAGTTGTGGTTGTCTGTTTCACTATGCCGCGCTAGATGGCGCAACCTATTCAGTTGGTCTATAAGCTGGTCGGGGGCTGGCATATGTTTTTTAGTTTCTATGTTCCAGGCCATTCTAGCTTTGGAAATCTGGCTGAAACCGTGTAATCGCTATAAGTGCTCGCACTTTGGCTTACTTTAACTCGACGGCTAGAGTATCCGCAGTGCGGATGCCGTGAGTTCTTGCGAAGGTGGACCGCGCGGACGCATGGCCCCATCGCCCCAGCGATCTTGCGACGCATCTGTTTGGGGTTTCGCGCATGCGCAATACCGCCTCCCCAACGTTCTGCGTACGCAACCCGCTTGGGTACCCAGCACTAAAACTCCCTATTGTACAACCACGGCCACGTCTGTGGAGAGCAGCCGGTTTTCACTCTGTGGGCCGAAACCTTGAGGTAGTTTCGGGCTCTGAAGTGGTGTATCAGGAGCATGCACAGCCTAGTTGTCAGGCTGACCACGTCAGAGCCCGATTCTGCCCCAAGGTTTCGCCCCGCAGAGTAAAAACCGGCTGTTCGCGTGCTTTACACAGACGTGACCGCCGCTGTACACTCCTTCAAAGTAGCAAAGTTGAAGCTGCAAAGAAAAAAAAATGAGGCAGGAAATCGACACTGCAAAGCGATCAAGCAAAGCCTGACCAGCTGGAGCATCGCCTGAAGGCATTACGAAGTAGATGACCCACCTGCGCTCTGCCCGTAGCAGGTCCTCGACGCGGCTCGTTGGGCAGACCACGGTGTTAGGTGCAGACATGAAGCTCAGACGTTCCCATTTATTTACTTGAACTGCGGGGACAAGCCGGTGTTAATGCACAGCGTGACCGGTAGCGAATGAAAAATGGAGGCGGGCAGCCCACGTGCCACATTTTTTAACCGTGATTCTCCGATATTCGCGCATGCGCTGCTGCAGCCACATCTTGCGGCACCATTACGCCATGAATTCGTTCTTCACCGTCTTATCGGCGAGGTCTGGGGTGCTTTTCTGGACACTGTCTAATTCCGCCATATTGTCAAATTTCGTAATGGCGGCATTTTAAGCCAATTAAAGAGGTCGTAGCAGCTCATTTGGCCAATTAGCATCGATCAATGGCGGAATCTGACAACATGGCAGAATTTGACAATGTCCAGAATAGCACCGCTGCACGTGGCGTATGCTGCGGAGGAAAGAAATCAAAGAAAACATTTACGTACAAAAAGAAAATCCCAGGATATGACCTACACGGCACGTGAGATTTGGGCTCGAAAAGTGCCTAAACGCCATCCGCAGGTGAAGTGGTTGGATCGCTTCCACGCGGTCGCCTTTTCGCGTACACCTTGCACTCTCGAATTTCAACCCGATTACCGGCATGACTTGCAATTATGCGACGAGCTTTAACAAATGAAGAAGCTGCTTATATTTGTAGTCATTGTTCTAACTTTTGTCCCGCCGCCTTTTCCGGAGCGTATACCACGTATACGCTCCGAAGCAAAGTTACCACGTATACGCTCCGTTTCTTTTACTCGTACCTCAAGTCCATGTTTGGGCACATGGCTACAAAGCTCTGCTGATGTCCCGAAGGTCGCAGGTTTGATTCCGGCCTTGACGGTCGCATTTAGATGGAAGTGGAAAGCCAGAGACACGTGTACTGTGCGGCGCCAGTGCGCGTTAAACGACATGGTTCAATTTCCAGAGCCCTCCACTTCGGCGTGCCTCATAATCATATATATCGTGGTTTTGGCTCGTAATGCCAAAGATACATTAAAATATTTTAAATTGTGCCGAAAGGTTCTTAGAAGTATACTACACGTGTAATGGATATAAGAAGAAGACAGGAATGCAGCTAGAGTTTCATAGTTAGCATGACTTGTCACAGTGGCTAAACTATTATATCTGTTTTAAACTGGTAGCGATTTGATTACGAGGCCACGATCACGAGATACAAAGCGGTCCTGACATAACAATCCGGGGTTACATTCTTGTGCTTAATTTCCAAATATATATAAAAAACAGGACTTATGGAAAGTCTCAAATGGTGCCCATGGATGCCAGATTTGCGGCTCTGTCGACCGCGGTGCCATTTCCGATGGAATAAGAACTGTAAAAATAACTGGGGTCCCACAAGGAGGCGGATCTCGGGCTCTCATGCTGGGACCAGGAGGCCAAGCATGGCGGCCGCGTTGTAAGCTTGGTAAACTGACCGGAGTTGGTGGGTACTACGAATTGCAGCCGCGCATCAATCAGACCGAGATAGAATCGAGATTAAATGCTCGCGCACCTCACCTCGCAATCTCAGGGCACGTGTTTGAGTGTATCGTCGCGTTCATTACGCACCAGGCAAGTGTCTGGATATATGACGTGTCTGATGAAATCGTCTGCTTATAATTACGCTGTCGCACTCGAACACACGAAAGATCCTTCGCAATGCGTTGTCCTGTAAAGCAACTTAATGTGACCAAGGTTACATTGTGAAAACGGTTGGCCTCTCATATTGTGGGCCCACGCTGTTGGGCCGCTACCTCTTTAACGAGACTGGTATTCGACATCCGCTTTCACCAGCCACTGCTTGAATGACCCGTGGAACACCCCTTTTCTGCCGCACAAGTCATCACTTGCGTGTCGTTTTCGGGCGCTACTTCGCTGTAGCGCTGTTCTTATATTTACTATGGCATACCAACATTCATAAGCAGAGACGGGGGAAGGGCGTGCCCTTAATCACAAGCTGATAGGAGGATTGCAAGTGGCGTCATCTGCTTGGGGCGCTAGCGGCGTTCGCCGCCATCTCGGTGCTTATTGGTGGTGCAGATGTTCTCTGGTGGCGCGCTTTATCTGTTTCGTCAAAACCACGAGTGGTGATGAGAGGCCGTGTGCGTGACACAGCACAGGGCGCAGCAGTTTGTATTGATAGAGTGTGGTTGAGCACGCGGAAACCACTAAGATGGACGCGGTGCCGTTTCGACGCTGGCGCCATCTCAGGAGCCCCGCCCCCGTGCAACGGGGTGGGGGAAGGGGGCGCTCACCATGGCTTAACTCAGTCGGACCTATCACGTGATTTTACATGAATTAGGATAATGATGACCTAGGTCCCTAGATAAGGTGGCTAGAACTCTAACCACTCTGCCTTGATTTTTCCCTTTTAGATAAGTACCGACAACTGCCTCCCCCAGCCTTCTCTCACGCGCAGCAGGCGTCTACCGCCATTTTATTCTTAACTTTGAAGATTCGCGAAAGCCACGAACGTCAAGGAACATTAGCCACGTATCATTCAGCGAACAATATGCTACCTTCAAGCGCCTTTCTCCTCCTGCCCTTGGGGGAATGCGTTTCGCCAGAGTTAGGAAGAACAGGGCTACCGAAAACGAGCGTTAGCCAATAAGGTTCATCGGTGACGCATCGATGGTTGTCGGTACTCAAGAAAAAAGAGAGAAATATCTGGAGACTTTAATGTTGACCTGAAACCTCTCACATTGCCCCGCCGCAGTGGTTTAGTGGCTAAGGTACTCGGCTGCTGACCCGCAGGTCGCAGGTTCGAATCCCGGCAGCGGCGGCTGCATTTCCGATGGAGGCGGAAATGGTGTAGGCCCGTGTGCTCAGATTCGGGTGCACGTTAAAGAACCCCAGGTGGTCGAAATTTCCGGAGCCCTCCACTACGGCGTCTCTCATAATCATATGGTGGTTTTGGGACGTTAAACCCCACATATCAATCAATCGAAACCTCTCACATTGAATTCCAAGATTTGAACTGTTACTAATACTTTGAGGCAGTAGGGAAGGCAGATTTTTTTTAAATCGGGGGCAGTAGGGGGGAGTGGTGAAAATTTACGAGTGCTCATGCGCGCGCTAAACTGAAACTTTTCAGGTGGGTGTTGGAAGTTCAGTGTCAATGACCGCATTTGTGTACGTTCGCCGGCACCGTGTATTTTTTTTTTTTTTGCTTAAGATACCGCACACAAGCATTGTATGAAACTACACCATGTGCAATTTTAGCTACATCCTTACGACAGCAGCGCTTTACCCGCCTCATCCTTCACTAGCTCTACTAGCGCCACAGAGCTGCAGTGTCAGCATATGGCACTAACGTACCGGCTTTCGCATGTTTTGAATCACGGAGGACGTACATTTTGTTTGATACGCGAAGATCGTAAAGCAAACAACGGAAGAGAGGCATTTACGCGATGGTGCGAATACAGTGCCAGTTGGGTATAGATGTGTTACACAGCTGTTGGCGGCAACGTCTCTGAACGGCTTAATGCAGCATTTGCACTCATAATGTGGGCCTGATCGAAAGCCGCGATCGGAGCGGCAGTGCGCCGTCTTATCTCCAAGCTGCTTATTCCGACTGTTGGTGCTGTGCGTTCGGAGAGTGAATCGATTTCTTGTGAATACTTATGCGAAGAATAATGAGTGAAGTGGACATTCCTAAGGCTTTGCAGTTGGTGCGCGAGAAAATAGCGGCCGCCTCTGCGGGTTTGGCTGGCCCAGCACCTCGCCTCGTAGCTGTGAGCAAAACGAAGCCCAAGGAGCTTGTGATCACGGCTTACAACGAAGGTCAGAGGCATTTCGGCGAGAACTACATTCAAGAGCTTGTGGAGAAAGCTAATAGCGCCGAGATACTGCGCGACTGCCCGGACATCAAGTGGCACTTCATCGGCCGCCTGCAGAGCAACAAAGTGCCGAAGTTCCCGAAGATACCCAACTTGTTCATGGTGGAGACGTTGGAGTCCCAGAAAACTGCTCATGCATTGAACAACGCTTGGGCTGCGAGTGGACGTTCGCCACTCAACGTCTTGGTTCAGGTGAACACTAGCGGCGAGGAACAGAAAAATGGCATCGACCCAAAGGACGCGAGCCAGCTCGTAAAGTTTATCGTAGGAGAGTGTCCTAGTCCTAAAGTTCGCCGGACTGATGACGATAGGCATGGCGGAGCACGATAAGAGCGGCCCGAATCCAGACTTCATGTGCTTAGCGAAATGCAAGGAAGAACTTTGCAAGGAGCTGGGGTTGAGTGCTTCGGACGTGGAGCTCAGTATGGGCATGTCTGCCGATTTCAAGGAGGCGATACGGATGGGTAGCACTAATGTTCGTATCGGAAGCACGATCTTCGGGCATCGAAATTATCCCCAGAAAACTTAAATCCGAGAACTGAACAAAACGAGTCGCTGCTTCCGGCACTTTCTCCTGGATGTATTAATTATATCACATTTTGATTGTCGTCATTTGTGAAATAAAAAAAAAAAACGCACTGTGTACGGTATTGCTTTCGTGAATTGGTCTGCAATGGAACTTTGTTCGAAAGTTGTCTTTTAATACACTAGCGACTCCCGTAAGAACATAAATTACACGGCCATTTTTTTCCTTTTACTTGCGCATCTTAGGAATACAGCCAACAGAATGCCAACCATATCACTTTTATCTTTATTTTTCCTTGCTACGCCGCACATACGCGAAAGATCTTATGCGGTTCGTTAAAGAGCAAATTACTCAATGATGTGAAAAAGGCGAGACTAAAATATGAAATGCAGAGCAAATTGGCATCGTGTTTTCGCATTATGAATCAAAGCCAACTTCCTCCTCTTATTGTGCAGATACATCATTCATATGTACAATTTTTAAGACTTAACACATCTGCCATTACAATGCAGCTTCTGATCTGCCTCCAGTAGCTCAGCACACACACCTTTTTTTTTCCTTTTTTTTGGATTGCAAACTATCAAGAGATAGAAAATATAGTTTTCCAAACTGTATACAAAAAATGGTCTCCATCAAGATGCAGCTTCATTAAAAATGAGCTGAATCTCAAAAACATCAGAATAAAATTGTTTAGAGAATTTAACAACTCATTAACTGGGTAGTGTCAATTGCCAGGATACGTACAACTTTACGACATTACAGACTAATCTTAGTGAACGAACTGTCAAGCAGAAGCAAGAAGATAAAAAAACTATAATCTCTTTCCTGCAAAGTTTATGAACGTGCCCTAGCACTGTATTACCTTTGCATTTGGGTCCTTCAGGGATGAAGCAATTTTATACCACTCCCATCCTCCATGAAACAATGAACAAAACATGCATATGCCGTTCTCATAATAACGCAAAAAGGGTAATGTAATTAACATTTGAATCTTCCTTCAGAAATACCATTGCCATGTGCTTACCTGGTGTCACCAGACCTAATGCGACCTCAAATAAAGCAGTACCTGCAGATACTCGATTCTAGATATATCCGTGCTAACAGCTTTGAAATGCAGCAAACTTTAGAATTGTTCTCTAAACATGTAACCTCCCTATGTGATTACGCTTCACAGAACTCTATTTTTTTTAGATATAGATGCATTATTTACAGAATCAATACAGTGAAGACCATCTTTCCAGTTGCATGCTACTGCACACACGCTATGCTGGTGAGTAACGGCAGTCACCGCTCAGTCAATATGATGGATAAGATGCTGCACGAAAAAAGAAAAGGCTTGGTCTTTAATGGCTCACAACTAAGAAACAACAGTAAACGTACAGCAGTTTTTCATACACTGTTTTAATGAAAGAAATCACTTGAGCAAGATAGTGAATTCTCTAAACCAATACCATAATAAAAATATGTATGCTATAAATATGTTACAAAGTGAGTTTCTTGTACAAAAGTCTGGTTGCTTTGTTTTCACACCTTATCCTTAGCACACACGTCCTTTCTTCATCCGTTTTTTTTTTTCTTGTTTTGTTTACAAGTGCGACTGATCACTCACGTCGCGCAATGGGTACACATTCTCGCACACGCATGCACACGAACTCACATAAAATGCGGTAGGAGAGCAAAGGGGGAGAGCAACGTAAGTTCTCGTCACATTCTTGGCGCCTGTAAGAACATCATCTCCAGAGGTCCGCAAAAATTACACACACACCACGTAGGTTCAAGAAACGGCACATTCAGAAATGGGTGCAAGTGGCTATATACAAAAAGCGGGGCTCACGCGGAACGCAGCCGCTTCGTGCCCTGTTGGCTCCACGGTAAGTGCCTGCCTAGGTAGTGCAGCAGCGTCAAGACAGTTACGAAGGAAAGGGGTTGCTTCAGAAGATGTACAAACACTGTTGCGACATAGTTACGGGGTGCGAGGCTTACTGGAGACGAAAAAAAAAATCACCGGTTAGACAAACGAGGCATGTAAAGTTGAAGTAGCAAACAGGCGGGTTGCCCAACCTCGGCAGGAAGAAGGCTGGTTCAGAATGCATTCGGTGATAATCTTTTAAGCATTATTGGCACATTGCTAAGTTGGGATGTTATTTTGATTGAACAATGGATACTGTTGCCACCTGTGCAAATGGGGAATGAAAACATTACATCTGAACACAAAAAGGAGTAGGCTGCCGGCATTATTATGCTCAATCAAGCAATTCAAAAGAAGCAATCTCTTTACAAGACTGTATGGCAGGCTGCCGACATTATGCATTTTATGGCCGAAGCCCATTTCAAACAAAGCTTCTTGTGTAGCAGGAGCTCCTTTGAAAAAACGTGCTTGTTAAGGTTTTCTTTGCATGCAGGAAATGGAATACTATACAGGGCTTTGGTGCCTAACGACAAGTTGTCTATTATGTTCACTTGAGGGCTTTTCATTAACGTCATAAAAAGCAGGCATCCTAGCCAGACAAAAAAAGACACACTGTTGTAAAATAGAAAATGATAAAATCCCCAGAACACTTTATCCGATTTGAGAACCTGTGCGTGACTACTACTGGATGACTTGTCGCTGCAGCAGTCCTGTTAAATTAAAATGAAAGTCAAACTTTAAAAACCAAGAAGATCAAGAAGTGCTAGGTACTTCTATACTTTCAGATCCAGAAATCATGATTACCTTGGGACACTCCTGAGTGGAGCACCGTTTCTTTTTTTTAATATATTGTGTGCTGTTTAAGACCTCTTTTTTTTATAATTTGCTTTCTGTTTTGAGTGAGTAAATGCCAGTTATGGCAGTGCTATCTGTTAACATAATGGTAAAATGCTGTTAGTGGGGATACTTCTTGAAATACTTGCCAGTAAGCGGCTCTCTGACAGAGCCAAACACATCACTACTACACTCGCGACTTAAAATGAGTGCGGATGAGAAAGAACTTTTTAAGCCCATCCCTGGCTTTCTTCCTTTTGCTAATAAGCAGGCAAAAGGAGCTTTCACAACAGCACCTCCGCAGTTCTTTATGTTTTGTTTGTTAAGCCTAGTGAGCAGGAGCACACACAGTGAAGTCCAGCTTTCAATCTTCTCAACTCCACTTACACACGCACACACACAACACTCAAAGAAGTTTTTTTTTTCGCGATACCGCGCAGCACTAGTTGACACAGTTAATTTTCTGAAAACAGTCCCGTAGCAGTTCTCTGCTAACTTTCAGAAGACGATGCTGTCAATCCTGCGGTGTTCTTCGGTGGAGTGAGCACGCATCGCACACACGCACACAACACACGCTCAGTCACGAGTGGCCTTGAAGGGCAAGGTCCGCACACGAGTGAGAGGTTTTGGCTGAGCCTTGCAGGTGCTGATATGTAGGTCTAATAGACGTCATATCCACAGTGCAGTGTAGAGAGGGGTATGGGGTGGAGGCAATCGAAACACATTCAACACGCACAAGTTTGAAACAACATGTTTCTTCCTGACACAGTCTCACGGCGCATGTCCGAGCCACAAGGCTACTCAGACACAAAAATGTTAAGTATTTCTAAATGAAATTTAAAAACTAAATGCCTAATTCTAAAATGCAAAAACAAAAACAGGAGTGCTGCAAAATGTTTCTTAAGAATGCACTGGCCATAAACTAAAGAACTAATATAAAATAACATTAAAATGACATATGCCATAATATTATAGCAGGGCTAACACCAGTACTTATAGCAGTATTGTTAAATTACATGAAACAATTTCGTGCTTGCAAGCACAGCCTGCACTGTCTGGGTAGAATAATCTTTGTTTTTTCGAACAATCACTGCAAAAGAATTATTTTGGCATGCTGACCTCAACAGACTGTCGAACAGTGTTAAGAGTGTGAACGCTCACAATATATGGCACTCAAAAGAGCACCGTCTCTTTTCTAAGACAAGCACAATTAACCTGAGTAATAGTAAGTCTAAGTGGCACAATGAGGACCATTAAAAGCAATAAAAATGAAATCTTAACAATGCTGTTCTTGCAAGTAGCCTTTCACCTTGTGTATCTCGTGAAATCTGGAGCACTGTGTAGGGCTGCGCGAAAGCAATGTTGGAAAAATGAGTTACTTTTTTCTCCAAGGAGCCCACTAGGACTGAGAGAGAAACGCAGTTCTGATGACACCGCTCACTTGGGTCAATATTGTTATCACTGCGCCAACTCCAGCAGATGGCACTCGGAACGATCAGCAGCTGTCCCACATAAGGTTACAGGCTTCGGAGCCAGCACAGTGCGTAATGAGGGAATCGGGCGAAGTATGACTGTAGTTGTATGTCAGAAAACTTTCCATTAAGTATTGAAATCAATTAAGCTATGAAGTAGTCCATGAACTTAATTTAGAACTTGCACAAGCATCTGTATTGTCATGAGAATACTCTGCAGTAATTACAATGAAGTGCTGCTACCCGATGCCAAGTGCTAATACTAATTCGCAGAAGATAAATCGCGGGCCATTACATCTTGGTGCAAGTGTGTCGTCAAATGCAACATAACAGACCTTCCCACTGCTCGCATGGTCTCTAGGTGTGTAAAAGCAGTTAACTGCCAAACAATAAAGGTGATGATAAGGCAAGCAGTGGTCAAGGCTACGATACACGGGAAAGACTTCCTAGTCTGTGGGTTGATCATTACAAATGCAATTAAATCAATGTGATGTTCATTACAAAAACGCAATTTCTTGCAGTCAAAAGTATTGCTGCGAGCTAGTTCTGATCTGTATATCTTGTTTGGCCGTCTTGTAATGTAATGTCGAACATAAAACTACAACGTTTACATGAGGAAATCGCAGTTCAACTGGTTGCTGCCATACAAGTCGTATTACATGTGACACGATGCCTCGTACGGTAGTTCACAGTGAATTCCTCCTTGGATTGATGTTTCCTGCAGGCCTGGTGAAGAGCAACAGGAATATCAGAACCAGCACAGCCATTGTGTCTAAATGCAAAAATGTGCACCTGATAAACAGTCACTGCAATAACATTTCGGGCAGGACACATCTGGCTCGGACAGCTGCGACCACACAGTATAGAGCACACGCAAAGAATAACAGTGACCTTCAGAGTGTTCAGATCTGCCTCCGTGGCAAGTCGCACCGTGTCGTCAAAACTGCCGTTAGCTCTCGCTCCTGTGTCGGGGCTATCCAGTGTCATTGATGACCCCCGTCATGGCACGGCTCGCACACATCATCCAGCACAGGAACCACAACATAAGGAATGAACGACGTCATTGTAAGAGGCGAGCGAGACCGCTTTGTGTTTTGTGGCCCTTGCGTTGACGAGGGAGACCTAAGGTAGGCCTCGGTCAGGAACGGTACGGAGAAGCAGACCTTGACAGCTGACAAAAGGGGGCCTGAGGAGGGGGGTGGTTGGGGGACGGGGGACAACGTTGCGCGGCATTCAGTGGAGGGTTGACACACACCGTCTCCAGACGCTCGCCGGAGGAGGAGCCGGGAGAAACCAAAACGCGCTGCCGCAGTGGGAACGCAGGTTGCCTGCCGGGGACCGAGTGGCAAGCACGATGCGCGTGGGCGCCACAGAGAGAGGAGGTGCTTGTTCAGGTCCTTGCTGGCGTCACACGTCCACCGAGTGCCAGTGCAACCGTCATGCTTCCGACTCCCCGTTCATGATGGCATTCACCTGGCTCAGCTTCCGGGCCAGCTTGTTCTTTTGGGAGAATTCGTCCTCCTCTAATGTCTGCAGCAGCTGCATCACAAACGTGTGAATTCGGCAGATTAACTTCAATGCACACTGCTTCTTGCCAGATAATATATGACTGCTGAGGTTTCATGTGCCGGAACCACAATATGATTACGACGCACTTCAGATTAATTTTGACCACCTCAGGTTCAAAAACATGCACCTGCCTGTGTTGCCCTTATAGCAGCTGCCCCTATTAAAGAGCAGCCGCGGCGGCTAAGAATCGAACTCCTGCCCTTGAGCTTGCTGACGAGATACGCTATGTGCTAAGCCTACCATGGCGAGTTTCTACTAGTGGCAATATTAATGCAATCATGTAACCGTGCCTGCCAATGTGCTAAGCTTGACTTATAAAGATATTCCATTGAAACAACAGCCCAAGAATTTATTACTGGAGGAAGAGCTAATTGCATACACTTTTTCAGAGTTTTGCATGCACTTTTTCCAAGAGACACACCCACTAAACACACATTTGTTAGCCGATTGAGAAAAGTAGCTTTAAAAATTGCTTTAAAAATTGCTTTAAAAAATGCTTTGTCTTTTGATACTGAACAGCTGAATTGAAGAATTGTAGAATTGAATAGTTGTACTTATTCTTGCTTGTTCTAGCTGGCCACCAAAGACATCTAGAAAACATTTTAGCTCAGTGGGATAGAAATTTTAGTGTCAATGCTTAACATCTGAATGCAGCACATAGATGCAGCAAATTTGGAGCTGTGGCGGCTTTCAACAGAGGCGGTGCCAGCGGGGGGAGAGGGCTGAATCCCTCTCAAAATATCTCTCCCCTTCTCGGAGGAGCTCACTTGTCGTGCATGCCGCTGAAGTAAACGAATCCCTGGCGCCACCCCTGGCTTTCAAGAAAATTATTACTTTTATATTGCAGTGGCGGTCAGTGTATTTTAAACAGCGCCTGTTTCACGAACTTGCTCACAGTCGGTGGCCCCAACAGTGTCGTTTCACACTCTGACTTCCGAGCGACAAGCCAGAAACTGATGAATTAAACATACAGTGGAACTTCGATTATACGTCCCCCGGTCCTGCGACAACCCGCGTTTTACGACCAATTGGCTTGGACCGGGCAAAACCCCCATAGAACTAATGTATTGAAAACCTAAATTCTACGACGCAATTTTACGCCAGCCCCGCCTCGTACGACGCTTAGCTGGACTGTCCGAGAGAGGAAAAAAAAAAAAAAAAAAAAAAAAAAAAACCCCTACGATGACGCCTGCAGGCTGCCACGCAAGCACACTGCGGCCGGATGAAAAAAATTCGAGAAACCGAGGAACCAAGTTCGTTCCTCCGCACGTTTTAGCACACTATCCGCGCTGCCACCACAGGGCCTCTTCATTTTTTCGACACGCTATCGACCATAGCTCGCCAGAGCCAACGTTGTCCAGAGCCAGCCGGAGCGGATTCGTTTTGCTTAGTCGCATTGCACTGCGCACTTCCGTTGGGACCTTTTTTTTGTTTTGTTTTCTGCCTTCTTTTGGGTGGTTTTGTAGTGACAGCTGTGAGCAGGTAACATGGCAGATAATTTCGAGCTCGCTTTCTAGTATGCGATAACTTTCACTAGATTTCACGTCGTTGTGCCGGACTTGTTGAACGGCGATTGTTGAGCCTGTCTACATTTGGGACAGCCGCGGGAACCGGAACTAGCTGCTGCCTAGCTACCAGAGGGCTAGACAGCAGTTACTTCCGGTTCCGCTACCAGAGTTCGGCAACCTGGAGCTGCCTGGATCCTTCGCGGACTATGTTGGTGCCGACGACGACGTTGCAGTGTGCAGTGCAGTGTCGCTGGATGACATTACCAAAACTGTGCGTCCTGACACTGCGGGAACTTCCGACGAGGAAGAGATGGATGACACTGCAGAGGCTAGTGCGTCTGTTCCGACGTACGTGGACGTGTTGTGCTACGTCGACAACATTCGGCGGTTTGCTTGCGCACGCGACGAGATCGGCGACTTGTTGCCAGATGTCACAGCTCTCAAAAGAAAGCTGATGCATTGTGGCTGGGCGAATTCGCAGAAAAAAATCACATTTTTTTTAAAGGTGAGAATAAAGATTTAAAGATAAAGTTGTTCACACCTCCGATAAAATGCGTGGTTGTCATTTTTTCAAGTAATTTAATCTACCTTCATCGGAGCAGCGTAGATTTGTGCCGCGGACTTTCTTACGCATTATGTGACAACTGTTATGGGGCAACAACGACCATCAGTGCCTATATTCTTGGTTTTTCGATTATAGGATGCCCGGATTATACGACGATTTTGCGTAGTCCCCTGAAAGTCCCATAATCGAAGTTCCACTGTATTCACATATGACGTTGATGTTTCAAAAACTTGACAAACACTTATTGAAAAAAAAAAGACACAAATGCTTTATCATATAAAAGAAGAAGTTATCACACGACAGCACTCAAACCATTTCTTTAATTTTTGCAAGTCATGTGCCATTTTCTGAAACGAAAAAAGGGCTTCATTATGTCTGCAATGACAATAACTTACTTGATCTGTGTACTTGTAGGCATACTTGTACAACTCGTGCAGAGCCACATTTGTGTTGAACTCGTGAGCGTGAAGCTGCAAGTAAAGCAAGGAACAAGGGAAGCGTATTTAACTCTAGGGCTGTACATTTTCTTTGGATAAACGCTTTAAAACCAGGCTGGATGTACAGTAATATGATTTTCAACATACCCTGGACTCTTCTGCGAGCATGGCGTTCATGTCTTGATCGCTGATGGCTGGCATCATTTTGATGTCCTGATAATACCTGAAAGATGTTAAGAAAAGCCACGTCAAGTACAGAGCGAAAGCAAGTTTATGGGTTGCACACTTTCGCTGAAAGGAAGGTTTAGCATCAAGCCAAGTTCACGCTTTAGCTTCCCTGTTAAAGCATGTGTAGAACACTGAAAGTGCTTGAAAAGCATTATGATTGCTTTCAGTACCATTCACTCCCTTCAGCTAAGGATGTCAAATTCTATACAGCTATGGCAAGAAAACTTCTACATAAGGTGTTGTACTTATTTTTACGAACATTGCAAAGAAACAGAGTTGGTGTGTCATGGTATGAGTAGTGCCTCTTTTGATGACAGACATGTTATAATGACCTGAACTGAAATATGAAGCGCTTTACTAGTATATTTCCACTTCTTGTGAAACAGTCAAGTTGATATTGGCTTAGCAAAGTACCTATTGAGAAAAATAAAGCACATACAGTAAAAGCTCGTTAATTCGAATTCCACGGGAACACTGAGCAATTTTGAATTAAACAAAATTCGAAATAATGAAAGTGAGCAAAAATGGGTGGATTTCGGGGGTGGGGGCACGAAAAATATTTATTGGCCAAAAAAGTCGGTGATGACCATCTGCTTCTTCTCTGAATGCCACAGCCGCGGCTCCCAGTTCCAGCGCGCGGACGCGGCGCAGGGAATCCTCTTCACCCTCTTCAAAGCTGAAGAAGAGACGCGCCACATTACCGTATTTACTCGATTCTACCGCGCCCTCAATTGTAACGCGCACCCGATTTCCACTGCGCAAAAAAAAAAAAAAAAGTAAGACATCGATTGCAACGCGCATTTATTTTTCTCGCTGGCCCGCACGATCACACCACTCGAAAAACCTCCTTTCGGGAGCGTCTTCCATTTAAATATGAGGTACGGGCGAAGCTTGTGCCCATTTGATGTGTAACAGAGCATTGCCGTCACTGTAGCTTTACCATGGACCGATGTCAGCACGCGAACTTGCTTCGCCCCCTTCTGCTCGACGGTTGTGGTGCCAGGCACGTCGAAGTAAAGAGGCGTCTGATCGGCATTCCCGATTCGCCCGAGCAGGTAGCCGTTGTTGCGCCGCAAGTTTAGGACGAACCTCTGAAAACTGTGAAGCTTTTCACCGTACTCCTCCGCAAAGTTTTTCGCATATGCATGTTGTCCTTCGGAGGGAAAAGCCTTTCCTCTTCATAAAGTTAGTTAGCCAGCACCTGCTCTCTTTAAACTGGCTCCGCATTAGACCTTTTTCTAAGACTAATTGCATAGCCCGCACTTGGAGCAGTTCTGTCGTCACGGGCCGCTGTGCCGCTCGCTGCTCAAGCACATGCTCGCCGAGCAGCTCTTTAATTTGCGGAAACCGACCCTGCTGTGGTCCACTCAAGCCTTTGCGTGAAGCTTTGCTGTCGACAATCTTCTGCTTTTGTTTCCGCCGGTCTCGCACGCACGTTTCGGGAACTCCGAACGACCGCGATGCGGCCCGGTTTCCGTCCGTTTCTGCACACGCGATGACTTTTCTTTTAAAAGCGGCATCGTGGTGCACTCGAGTTTTTGGAGTCGGCCCTTCCACGCCGTCGATGCTAATGCACTACTAGATGACGAACTCCTCAGCACACGTACGAAGTGCCGCACATGGGAAACACATAGGCAGAAATGGCCGACACGCCATGCCGACGCACGTAGAGGGCGGCCATTTTGGATTTGCCGATGGCAATTGATTTACCGTAATTTTTTTGTTCGTACTCGATTCTAACGCGCATGCGATTTATGAACTCGCTTAACCGGAAAAAAGGTGCGCGTTAGATTCGAGTAATTACGGTAAGTGCCTCCATCACCGCAGAAGCTGACGAATGCACAGGCGCTTCGTCATTTTCGTCTTCCTCACCTTCTGGCTCTTCAGCATCAGGCTGCGCACCGGCTACTTGAGCGACAATGTCCTCATCAGTCAGGGCACCACACACCGATGCACCGGTGTCAACTTCAACATAATCGGCAAAACGTACGCCCCGAAGAGTGTGGCACAATGCCACTGGCATGAGCTCCTCAGCCCCATTCACGTCGACGTCACAACTATCCTGCGCACTTCCAGCTGCAAATCCACTGTGGCGGAAACAGTTTGCGATTGTGGTCGCGGTCACCTGTTCCCATGCGCGCACCAACATGTGCATGTCAGTGAGCAGCGTAATGCCGAAGTCCTTCCTGTCGCCCGCGCACAAAATCATTCGTGAACGAACAACGTGCTCGAGGCAACAAAGTGACGCTGTCGGGAGCGGCCTAGGACTGCTAGGACTACTCCGCTGACTCCTCAGCGTACCGTGGGTTCCGCATACAAGTGGCGCCAGGCGCTGAGATAGCGGGAGGGCTACGAAAAAAAAAAAAATTGCTCCCTGGATTTTGGAGGCCATACTTTGCTCGACTTGCTCGGAGGCCACTTGAAGCTCGAAAAAACTGGTCGTGCCACCTATCGTTCGACCGTAAAAGCTTCCACTAGTGTTTGACGATGCTGACGCTCGGCGGCGCGCGCTTCGAATTATCCGTAGAGGCAGCAATTTCTGTTCGAATTAACGAATCGTTTTACACATGGTCTCCTATGCACTGCGGACCGGACTGCGGCGACCATTTCGAATTATCCAAAATTTCGAATTAATGAGGTGTGAATTAACGAGCTTTCACTGTAGTAGAGCAGTCTAAAATGTAAATCTTTTTTTGCCTTGGGAAAAGGTAATTGATTCTCTTCATAACATTTGGCAGTTGTTTTTGATGTAATTGAGCGTAAATTGCAAGACTTTTGCGTATACTTTAAAACTGTTCCATAATTAAAAAGAAATAACTAAAAGCAATCAGTTTTAGCCTTAGCATTTGCTAAGAAAACAGTGGGAGGAGGAGATCATTATTATCAGCTGATTGGAAAGGGAACAAAGTGATTACTCTGTTTAATCATGATTTGATAGTAAGCTGTCCAATGCTAAACTGCAGAGCAGGACATCTATGCCCAATAACGAATTTACGCTCTGCCATTTGAGCAATATGAACAAACTAGCCAAGCAACGAATTCTCTGATCATCCAATGCATTTTGACTTGAAAACAAAGCTAAGCCAGTAGGTTAGAAGTGCAATCAAATCAATGTGATGTCACTCCAGAAAGTTTCATGAAGGAAGGTAAACAAGTACAGTAAACTATGTTATTGCATACAAATCTATTAACTCCTTAGGTAACGCCCTCCATGGGCTCTTCATGATAATGAAATGAAAGAATCGGCCGTGCATCTGCATGCTTCACTGCAAATGTCTTCGAAAGACAATAGTCTACGGCCAGCCGTCTTTTTCGGGCATAGCATTACATTTTTTGCAAAGGGTCGCATTTAGCAACACTGGGGTCTTTAGAATTATCTATTTATGTATTTTCTAGTAAAGGAACTCACCACCTAATACTTATGTATTAATGTTGTGCCTGAGATATGCATAATATTTAGCTTTTGGATCGACAATGTTCACAACTATGAATGCAGCCACCAGTTCAAGATGGCTAGGCAAGTGCTTAAGCTTTGGCTGTGTGGCTCAATTACCATTTCTGCATTCAAGTATAACAAAAAAGACTATCGTCTTTAAGAAGAACCGGTTACATACTTCCAACACAGGACATTAAGCCTGACTGACCAATCAATAATGAAAATAAGCAAGTGCGTGCAAATACCTCTCCACCCAGTCCTTGTAAATGGGAATGTCCTTGGCATAGAGCAGCTTGCTGCTGGGGGAGTCCTTGCCCAGCCGGTGGTCGGATGTTGAGCAGGCATCCATGAAAGTCTGCGCCACCACTGACAGGCAAGAGTCCACTATGTTGGACTTGACTATGTCGAACACAAAGTTCGGGTTCTTGATCAGGTTTACCCAGAACCGCAAGGGAAGGCTGTAAAAGAGATACCGCAATCGGATTAAGCTGCTGCGCTTGTCTTTTTAGGAGTGGACATTCACAAGAATGTACAAATGGGTGCCACATTTGGATAAACAGTGGCTTAAATTTTTCTCCATTTGATGGCCTTTCCTCCAGTAAGACAATTGTGGAGAGGGGGCGTATAAAACGCTGATGGGCAAGCAGGCCACTTGCGGGAAACACTGCTGTGTACTATGTGTAAAAAAAACAAAAATTGGGCAAAACTGATACATGTTGCTGACTACGAATGAGCGATCGAGAGTAATGACTCGATCGTTGAACTGAGATTCAATAGAGACAATTTTGCTGTTATAGGAGTGCATAGTAAATGTTAACCAGCACTGAAGGAGCATGATTAAGTTGGCTGAGACACTAATGTTCAAAAGTCATGAAGTGAGGGTCACTAAGGTATGCTCTCGCATCCAAAATATAAGTACATTTCTGCCATGCCGGATTACTAAAGACACACACGTATGAGACACCGACCTGTTGGACTTCCACGTGTGAACCACCTCGGGGTCGGTAATGCCGTGCTGTAGCGCCTGGTCATCCAGGAAGTCGAACATGTACTTGATCGCCAGTGGCAAGGCACTGCCGCGGTGGGCCGTGCTGAAGATCGTCTCAAACAGGTCGTCCACAAACTTCTGCAGGGTGCCCTAAAGGAAGAAAAAGCAGACACATGCGAGTGTAAATTCAGCAGATCACACGTTCATTTCTGTGTGTTTCATTTAATTGTTGATTTAGGTCATCACAAAATATGTCAACACTTTGATTGCCATAGACAATCTATTGAATGTACTGCACTGCCTCTATAACTGATTAGCTTATCTGGGCACACTAGTACACTACTTGAATGATTTAGTACCACTCATGGTGTAAGCACTTCAGCCAAGGAAATGTGTTGAAATATTAAAATTGATAGGCGATAGGCAGTGGAAATGGAAGGCAGTGGCAGTGGAGCTTTGCGATATATGTAAGTCATCCTTGGAGTATTTATGGCGTTACCTCTACTTCCAAGTCTGTCTAGATCACTAGGCCATGAGCTACTTCTGGCCACCTTTAGAGCCTTTATGTGCTGCTTCTGAGAATTACCTGGTTCCTCTCGTCATCTATTGCACAAGTTCACCTCCTGCTTGTCCTAAGTGCCGTCCCTCGTGAGTGGGTCCAACTGTTTTTACTACCAACAGTTCCAAAGAGTTCCAAAGAGTTCCAAAAGTTTTCACCTCAATGCAAGCGTTCCTCGTTCGGAAACGTAGATTCAGAAGATCTACCGAAACTAAAAAAGAAATCTGGCTGTATTACCTTTGTGGCCAGTAGCCTGGTGAGGTAAATCTCCGAGACCATCTTGTTTCCTCGCTCCCCTTCCTTATTCTCGCCATCATGATGCTTCACCTACATTGGGTGGTAGGAGGAAAAAAAAAAAAAAGAACATCATGGGTATACTCGTGCTTAAAGGTAACAGAAAACATTACCAGTAAAAAAATATAAAGAACACAAGCAAGAAAGAGCAGGAAAGGTGCTCACCAAGTGCCAGTACTTGTAACCAGTCTCTGGATCGTGGTTCAGTGGAGACGTTGCCCGGCTGAGTGGTGGGCTCGTTTTCAGAGAGAAGTTCAGGGTCTCTGTTTCAAGCAGCAAGAAAACATTTTCACTATGCTGGCCCATAAGTTGGAATGTTCTCAGGCTTCATTTCAATAGAACTGACTAAATCTGCTAAAACGGTCACTTCAGCTGATAGTTTTGGCAGATTTGAATCTCCCGATTTCATGAGTGTGAGCATGATTAAAGCATGCATGTTAATGATGAACTGACACCGTTCATGCTTCCCTTACAACATAAAGAATAATACTGCATTAAAAAGGAAAGCCCGGGGCTTCTTGGGAGTTCACATAAAAACAACCTCCGTAAGTTTGGTAGACAAGGTGATTCAAATTGTGAAGTGATAACGGATGCAACATATAGACTGACCATATTTGTGAGACTTCTCCATCTTCTCGGACATGATAGAAAGGTTGTACATGGACGACTGCTTCGGAACCAGTGTCAGGTTTGCCCCATCATTCACCTGTCAAAAAACATGTCAAGCCATCAGCCCTCCCCTACTGCAAGACAGCAGCATGTGGCGTACCAAACAAACTGCTCGCTACACAGCACTACTGTGGACCAATGAAACAAACAGGATAGGTATAAAGTGGCATGCCTCTGGCATGTACAAACTAAAAAGAAAACAATGCAAAAGCGATTTAGCACTACATTACATATCCAAAGTCAAAGACACCAAAGCATGCACTTAAGATCATGCAATTAGATACAGCTTCAAAGGTAAAAACAAGTTAATTCATTTTAGCCAGTTGCAACCCGTAGCGTTTGCTTAATGTTACTCAACATTAGTAGAATATGTACCCAAACACAAATCACTAGTCATCGTACATGCCTTGATGGTGGCAGAACACAAGGTCATGCACGTGTTGACACACATAATAACAAACGCTGGGGTTTTATGTCCCAAAACCGAAATGTTATCACGAGTGGCACTGTAGTGATGCTGACACAGATAAAGCAATGCAAACTATGCTACTACTTTTGTGTGCTAAACTTAATTAGTAACATAGTGTACACTGCTTTAATTGAAAAACAAAACAATTGTCTAACCCTGTAGTGGGCCAGGGTGTTCATCCTCTTCCATTCTCCTTCGGTCTTGGTCGTAGAGTCTTCGTCAGATAAGATCAGGCGCCCCGAATTGCCCGTCCTCCATTCTGCACCAAAAAAAAAAAAAAAAAAAAAAAAAAAAAAACCAATGAAGTGTGACTCATTTCTGAACATTACATTATGTACTGCACTTGAAGTTCCGAAGAACAACATGCTCATGAAAAATAATGAGCTGGTTTGCTGTGAAAGGTTCTAGGTTGTGCATATATGAGCTGCCTTTTTCAAGTAGACCAACTGAACAGCATTATAAAGGAAAACTGCACATTATGAGAAAAGGGAGTGAAGCTAGGAAAGAAATTGAAAACACAGAGCACTTAACAGCATGTGGTAAACGGATGACCTACACCTTACGCAAATTACACCTTTATTTTTGCACCTTTTCATGTTGGCCAGCTTTGGTAGAAGCAAAGATAACCGAAATGACGACGGAACACTGCAAAAGAAACTGTGATTGTTAGGAGGACCAGTGCTTTCGGTTCGTGGGTTCAAAAGACCAAAAGGTCATTTCTCATAACGTGAACTGCTCCCTTTGCTGCTACACTAGGCACCAATTGTGCCTACTTCAGTCCAATATCTCAGAAACATATGCCACCAGATGTGGGCCTGGATAACAATAATGAAAAGGATAATTTCTTGTCCATTTTAATTAATTTCAATTTATACCATAATTACCCCACTACAGTTTAATGCAATCATTGATGTCTCCTACACTTTCTATGGCTTAATTGTTTGTTGATTAAATTGGCTGAGTCTAACAAATAAATGAGTCCCTCGAAAAAAAAAAAAAAGTTCCTTTTTTTTTTGTTCAGGCTCTGCTAGGGTGACATGGGAAGTCAGATGTAGTAATTTTCTCATCTCTTGCAATGCCACACTATGATGCACATCCCTTTTGCAAACCAGAAAAAGTAGATTAAACGATAATGACCACAAGTGCACTGGTCACAATGAATCACAACTCTAAACCAGACACTTTAAAATCAAACAATGAAAGAGCAGGTCCTTGTTACAGACATCATAGACAGCAAATTTGTTAATTTCTAGCTTATAGGGCGTATTGAGTTGAAGAATTGGCTGCCCGGAGGAGCACGCACCCAAGTCCAGGTCGTCCTTGTTTGGCCGCTGGGAGGAGGGCATGTTCTTGTAGATGGCGTCCAGTCCTTTATCCTTCACCTGGGACACAGTGTCACAGTCGAGGACCTTCACAGGCGTCTCGTTGTTCTCCCCGAGCTCGTAGCTCAGCTGCGCTATCGAGACGTAGGCCGTCATGCTTTTGTAGTCGATAGACTGCCGTATGAGCTTCTCTTCCGAGAGGGAGTAGCGTGCTTCGCTTGTGATGGCGTCCACTGGGCCCTTGTCCACTTGCTGCTTGATGGCGCGGTACAGCACAAACAATGGCTCTCCCGCGCACTCCTGCGTCGAGGAAACGAAGCCCGTCACACCAACACTGCCGCACAACTGATGCATTCCCACGGAAAAAATATGCTAGCTCAAGAACTGAAAACAGTTTTGAAATATTGCAGTCACGTGTGATTGGAACAATATCGATATCATACGCTATTATGCTGCAGCCAATGTAAATAAATGTAAGCTGATAATATAATGAAAAAGGAAGCATGACAGACTATAGTGCAGTGGAAAGAAACAAAAGTTACAGGCACTGAGAATATTGGTATTTTTTGTTGTAGTATAACCACTGTGCAAATACCAAGGAAATTCCAACAGAACAGTGTCGGTTACATGTAAATATCTCCTTCAGGTACGAATTATGATCCACTGTCTGCAAATACGCCATTTTCGCATGGCAGCATTACAAGGCACTCTGTATTGCATTAAAAAAAAAGAAGTTAAGGAATGAGTTGTATCCTGTGAGTTTGGGTAATCAACATTAATTAACATGTAATTAAGCACCTAATTATTGTGCAATCAGACTGGTTCAATTATTGTGTAGAAAGAGTCAAATATCAAAACCAAAATGCATGCACAGTTTATGTTTTGCTTGTACTTGTTTTGAGCACAGAAAAAAAAAAGTACCCTACACGGACAAAGTAGTGCCTCCAGCGAGGTGACCTTCTGAAGTAATAAAATTACCGCTAGATGTCCACGCAAGAAGTCCGCACGAATGTACACACTCAGTTTTAAGCCATTTGAAGAAAGACATAGTGTATGAGGCACCTCCCTAGTTGATGTGTACAATTGTACGCACCACCGCTAAAGGGGATAGTTACCACCATCTATTCTCACGGCAATGAAAAGTGTGATGCTGCACCTAAATGTAGGAATTTATGTTGGGATAAAGCCCTACTACACTCCTACAAAGCTGAAGTAGCAGCCGTGATAACTATCAAAACACGACTGCATCTGGGGCTCTTGTTGCGTGCAGTAATTGCATAGTTCTAATCCTTATGCATATCTGACGATTTTTTGGCTGGCTATATTTGCATGGGATGGAGAATACTTTCTACCATCTAAAGAGTTATGTGTGTTGATTAGTGATATGCATGAAGACATGGTACATTTAGTCACAGCAAACAGAATAATGTTTCCCTTGTTATGTGAAATAAAGCAGGGCAGGGAAAGGTGGGTGGGTGGGTTAATTTGGCAAAATAAATTTCAAGTCTGAATTACCACTAAGCTCTGAGGTCGACTCAAACTGTGTATGAGTATATGAGGGTAAAATACTTTCGATGTGAGAATAAACTCTGCTTACCCGTAGGAACTTATAGAGCAAAAATGTGAACCACGCCGAAAGCATTTTTTCCGCTACAGACTCAGTCCTGCAAGAAAGAATAACAGCATTAAAACACTAAGCACTGCCATCCAGAACAAACTCCTAATGCCCAACATTTTGTAAATGTTGCATTCATCCAATGACATACCTTCGTAGAAGTAGTTTTGGATGACTTTTGCCTTCTATGCACTTTTCAATGAGTTCCGCTAACAGTGTCTTGAGGATGCTGTTAAAAAAAGGGGAAAAAACGAGAGTGATGACGATTAATTTCATTGAGAGTTTTCAAAAACTGTGCAAGGGGATGATCACTGAATCTATCAAAACAGTTGAGAGCGACACAGCAACGAGGATGGACTCACTCTGTGCAATACTCCATCTTGCCCTGCAGAGTCACCATGATTAACGATGCAACGCTCACCCTGCAAGAAACGAGCAATTACAAAAAATGTCAGTATCACAGCACTGTCGAACAGACAGTGTTCCTTCGGCACATGAATAGCTCACCTTGCCTGAAAATGGCCTAAAACAAGTGAAATGTTTCTGCCACACTCTCCATGTGAAAACCTGACACTTGAATGCAATGTACTCAGCTTTTGAATATTATAACCCCATGAAAACAACCAAACTAACGCAGTTATCTAAAAAATTGCAACACTATGTTTACCACAAAGCAGTCTAGCAATGGAATTTGTTAATCACCATAAAAATTATGCATGAAGTACACAAAAAGCTCTTGAACTGGCCCACCAATGTCATCAGGAATCTAGTGTACTGCTTTTTTTATTGTCCATTGTAATACTGTCTGTGTTAACTCCTTAAACTGAATTTGCAGCAAACAGGAAAACTAATACTAACAGCTTTCCCACTGCACTTGTCAGACAAGATTCCATCCTCAACACTGCTATCAATTTCAACAATGAGAACATGCTCTTAAATGCCTGTACATGAGAATTTTTGTTACAGTGTCCCCAGATCCACATGCAACACTTCTTCCTTTGTATTTTGCAGAAGTTTAAAACCAGGCTTCTCACTGTGACACCGATATGTATGATACCGGTAGTAAAAAAAAATCGCTGTGAATCACATGGAAGCCACGTCGTAACATCCACATCGCCTACATGACAGCGACAAAGCAATTTGGCACTAGTTTCCGGTGCAGAAAACTATCAGCAAGCATTGCTTTATTAAACTCATTCAGGGTGGATTGATAATCGCATGAGAAGGATGCTCACCTGTCACGCATTGAGAAGTATCGGTTCGATTCGAGAGTTCGGATAAACAGTAGGAGAAAGGTCTTGTTCATGACGAGCTGGCCAAAATACCAAAGCCCCTTCTCCATATACTGTTTCTTCACAGCGTCGATCTAGAACGAATCGGATGAGACACACCACTGTCAGTGCTGGGACGCAACACGTACAAGCTTCTCACCAGATAAAATTTTTTTGTCTTGCTCCCCAAGGAACACATGAAATGTGTTTTAATTTAACGTTTGCATACTATATCACAAAAGTAAGTGCAGTTTGAAATAATCATACATATATACTTAAGCTTGCCATGTTCAATGACAATTGATTCCAATATAAAAGATAAGTTTTGAGGCGCCATGTCCCCACTCAAGTTTTATGTGGCCACGGATGGCAGATGTGGCTGGCTGACCTGCATGTCTCGGAGCACAGGGTGATCCTCCACATTGGGGAACAGAACTTTCATTGTGTATGCCCTATATTCCAGGAATGGAATGCCCCCTGCCGTCAGATCACTGGTGAGGTCGGTCATCTCAGTCTGAAGCTCGGCAAAGGCTGTGTAAAAAGAAACGAGACAGGTCAATCACCGCAGTTCGAAAGTTGGTGTGGACAAGAACCTACGCGATAGCAAGACTTGAGCGGAAACCAACATGCAACTCCTAGACATAACTTAGTTCTGCAGTTTATGCACCACATAGAGTGGACGGGGGGGACGGTCGCCATGGTAGCTCAGTAGGTAGAGCATTGAACGGGTTATTCGAAGGTCGCAGATTCGGTCCCTGCCGACGGCAGGCTATCTTTTCGTCCACTTTTCTTTCTTCACAATAACATTACAATTGCTTCTAATAACATCCAATATACTTTCTCTGGCATATTTTCTGTCAGTTCACACTAATATTGTTTCTAACAAAGAAAGCTAGCCTTTAAATTTACCCTTTTCTTCTAAAAGAATATTTCTAGCAGTTTGAAGATATTGGCTCAACGAAACTTTTATGAAACTTGGCATGCGAAGTCTATGGCCTTTTCTGAGGACAATGTGCCTCATTTTCACAGAAGACCTAGAAGACTATGCCAAAACATATGACAACACAACATTTGGTGCTGAAATTTTAAGGCAACAGTTTCTTTCCACGCGTTTTCCCCCGCATTTTATTTTTACGCATTTTCCTTGCTTGGCACTTTTTCGTGGCAAATATGATGATTTTCACACTGTGAGAAGAGTAACTTATCAATATGAAACAAAATATATTTTTTTTTTTCCTTCAGTGTCCCTTTTAAGCAGGACTTCGCAGGCATCTTCAGAGAAGGTGACATTGGGCTCACCTTCTTTGCACTCGCTGGCCACGCGCAGCTCGAGCACGTCCATCTGCTCTTGCATGGTTTTGAGCACGCGGCTGCTCTCGGTTGACTTGCGGCGGTACGCGATGAGGATGACAAACACAATGACCACGAGTACGCCGACGCCCACGCTGACCCCAATGATGGCCGGCACAGGCACTGCACTCTCGGGCCCCACGGGTATGTCGTAGCTCAGCCGGCCAATCATGAACTTGAGCTTGTCACCAACCTCCACCTGCGTGCGTCCAACACATTCATAAACACGGGCTACTAAAGTTTCAATTCGGTTCCTGTCGGTTTGCCATTAGAATGCAAAGAGTTGCACGACTGGAACATGGACAGAAGAAAGGCACGATTAGACACCTGTTGGTTTTCTTCTACGTCCTTGTCTGTCGCGCTTACTCATAATGCACAGACACGCGAAACGTAAAATGAAAACAGTATAAAAATGTTGTAGTGTTGTGCATTGTGTGTCTAATCATGTCGCCATTTTGTCTGTGTTACAGCCGAACTCCTTTATAAGAAACACTGAAATTGGTGTTGATAAGAAAGTGCATGTATGGTAACCTGCTTGTAAGAGATACCTTTTATAAAAGACAATGCTTTCTGGAGCATGTTTCTTATAAAGGGGTTCAACTGTAGTTGGTTTTGATATCTTTCAAGAATGCACCAAGTTAAATCTATAAAACAAAGAAACAAAATGAGAATACATATTTATGGGACAAAGCATGTCTTGTGGACCTGTGTGCTAGCCCTTTTTTTCCCCCTACTGTTTTGCGAATTTAAGTTGCCGTGTCCTTAGAGAATATCTAAGGCATGAGCCATGTAACAAACGCAGGCCAGGAATGCAACAGTGAAAACATGAAAGCAATCTTCCATTGAGAAGCGAGCATTGTTTTATGCAACCGAAGCTGCCCACAGCACAAAATTCCACCTGCGAGGGCTGCCTTGAAAAGCAGCACCCAAGCTGTATGATATTTCTGATATGAATACAGCTACTATAACTGTCTTTGACGGAGAGCCTGTTAGAGGTAAATGTGTGCAAGTGAAATGTGAGAAGTGCAAATGAAAAGGGCATGCACACAGATAAGTGCAAACCCATGCAAATAAGCATGTGTGCAGTTTAGTTTAACTCACTCTCAGGAACATTTTACGCAAAATACTATTATGCAGTCCTAAATACCACGCCTCAACTTCCTAAAAAATCATGAAAAGTTATAAAATGCCATGAAGAGTAGGGACATCAGCATATACATAGCAAAGCCTACCAATAAAAAAAAAAAAGAATGCACAGGAAAAAAAAAAAAGAAGATAAAGACAACTAACTTTAGTAGATGTTTATAGCTACAGTGAATGAGGCTCATGAAGCAAATCACAATTTATTTAGGCAAAACTTTGCAGCCAAAGCACTCAGCAAAATACAAGCATTGCAACAACCGGTGTTTATCAACCAGATGAGTTTTTCTATGTGGCTACAAAAAGAACTTGAATCGAAGCCAAGAGGAAAGAGGCCTTAGGCTATCATAAGGAAATAACAGTGCATGACCCTCACACGTGTGAAGTGCTTGTTTGCCACTAAAGACCCACTCTGCACAAAGACGCAAATCAGCACCAGCTCTTGACATTTATCAGCCGGGGTTATACGACAAGGGTGGACTAAACTTTGCAACCTGTGTTATCGTCCAAGCTTAAGAGCTGCCTCTGATATGGACATCAATAATTCTGACCGGCAGACCTACTGAAGTCGCCAAGAGGGGAGGCCTCACTGGCAGTCGCAGATGCGCAGCGGCAACCTTTCTTCATGACTTAGCGGCCATGTAAGTGACTGCCCTGTGAAAGCAGCAGAAGAGGCCAAGCATTTCAACATTTTAGTATCTATTTTAACAGGCATGACAGCTCACGAAGCCGATTCGCAGGTGAAGTCAATAATACCAATGGGTGAGTGCCAATTCCAAGTTCCGATCTTAGACAGCTAAACTTAAATTGCTAACATTTAGGCACCTAGCTACAAGCCAAAGAGCAAGGATTGAGTGAGGAATAATTTGTTTTCTTAGACACAAGCTGATGTCTGTTTGTTTTATTAGCTGCAAGCAAGAAACTGCGACAGTTCACAAATTGCCTTTTGACCGTAAAATATTTAAACTGCACAATGCTGGCAGCCAAACTCATAAGCCGCTCTTAAGCTGAACATGTGCGTGATAGCAGATTGTGTGCATGTTGAAGAGATGCAAATTACATGCATGTTATCCTTCTAATATAATGTCAGAAGTCCTGCATGCTTTTTGCCATGTGTACAAAATGAATTCAAGGGCTACTTACTAATTTTATAAGAAAGGTAGCATGCATGTAATGTTCGTCTACACACTGTGAGGGGAACAGATTAGATGTACATTATGAACAGTGTACTGTGCAATTAGGTGTAGGCTGAACGCACTAAGATATTCATCACGGTTATTGAACATGTTGTTGGTAAATTATTTGGGCGTGATGAAATACAGATGACTGTTAGATATATAGGAGCAGTTGACATTATTTTTTTCAAGAGCAGTGTTCATTGCTGACGATGGTAAACACATTTAACACCCTGCGTACTGTTTGATTTCTACGCGTTTTAATGTCTGCCTGAAAATGTGCTGTTCCACTGATACAAATCGAAAAACTAGATCCAACGCCAGAAAAGTCAGCTTGTTACATTTTTAGAAAATGCTCCAGAGATTGAAATAGTGCAGCTAATTTGAAATTTCAATGCCAGGGCTATGCTCACACACGCTTACAGTGCAGCATCTTGCAATTTTAGTTATTTAGCATGTGTAATGATGCCAGCTAATGGAATGCTGGAAACCTTATAGTGCTTGCACAAATGGCTTTGTTGAACATTTAAAATTTCATTTTAATATGATATAATAATAATAATTGTTAAGGTTTAACTTCCTAAAACCACCATATGATTATGAGAGATGTGGTAGTGGAGGGCTCCGGAAATTTCGACCACCTGAGCCCCAGGCATTTTCGCCTCCATAGAAAATACGGCCGCCATAGCCGAGATTCAATCCCGCGACCTGTGAGTCAGCAGCCGAGTGCCTTAGCCACTAGACCACCGTAGCCGGTCTTTCGTATGCCATATACTTAGTTTTACTAATACTATTAAGAGATGTTCTATAAACAGTTACTTCAATATCTATTGTAGCAGACAGGCGAATCAGACAGATTCCAATGGCAGTGCTATTCATAACATTTCAACATCGTTCATCAGCAGCAATACTGTTTTTACACCAGCTAAACTTTTCGTTCATGAGATTTTTATTATCACTTGATCATTTAATTTAAAATGTTATATGAAATAAACAATCGCAAATAATTTGTGTGTACAAGGCTTGAAATAACATGGTTATTTGCAAGCGCCAGCACAGTCTCTGTGCACTTTTCTGACCCTCCTTTAGCAGTGCTGCATACAAGACCTCTATTATCAGAAGTACAGATTTAGACTGCAGACAAAGGGTATTTATCATTAGTGAATAAACCTGCACGTGCGATCTAAAAGGTTGTACTCATTCCTGTGGTGATGTAGATGAACAAATTCTACTACTTACTAAAGCAGTACCCAACAGATAACCTTTATACACTCAAACCTCATTATAACAAAGTTGCATCTTACACAAAAGTAAGTTTGTTATATTCGAACATATGTTGTAAAGGTATATTTTTGACACTATGTTTATTACAAGACTGTTCTCCATTTAATGCATCATTATAACAGATATTTCGTTATATCTGGGTTTTTTAAAATGAGCATTGAGTTCACTCAGGTAAGAAATACTCGTTTTTGGTGTTCTAGTACACTATGAGCCAAGCTACAAGCCGATTTCCTTTGGGTGTAGCTTGTAGTGATAAAAAGTGAGCACTGGAAACATGACTGGCTGCAAATTTTGGAGTAAGGATACCCAAGTGCTTGCTCAAAATTGCGATGGTTTGAGCACAGGACTAACCTTTTGTTTCACAGCGACTAATGTCTTTTCTAAATGCATTCGATTTCCCATAATGCTACACCTTTGTTGTGTGCCATCATCTGTACACGGTATCGGGGCCCATTTAAAAAGTTGTGATAGCCACGTTAAGTGCTCGTGACTACATCAACAACATCAGCTTGTAACTGCACTGCTTAGTATTGATTGGTTCGTTAACACAGCACACAATATTTGGCATACACATGATGATGTACTGTTCACTCATGTTGTTATGTGCACGTTTGACTCTTTTAATAGCACATAAGCATGAACTAAAGTGAATGATTCCAGCTCATTTTCATTTCCTTACTTCCAGGAGTACTACAGTTACTCGTTACGGGTCACGGAAAGCTTATGTGGCCAAGAACACAGTGGCCTGTACCAAAAGAGGAGTGGTAGTATTTATGTGTGAATGTACCCCTCTGTGAATAAAGCCTTTAGTATTTCAAAGTGTTTTTACATTTATTCAAAAATGTGCAGCAGCCAAAAATAAAGAATCCAGCAGACTGTGCTTGTATTTGTCCTACTTAGGTGTGTTTCTAACGAGATAATACAGGCAACAGCACAATAAAAAAAACGAACGCCTTTTATTTTATTTTTTCACGTCATGCTACGGGAGCTTACCTCGGTGATCTTTCTCAGCACCCAAGCGTTAAATGTACGTACACTCCCACTAGAAGCCTAAACAAGCCTAACTGTGTTAGAAATGCACTTTAGTGCGCAGTCAACCAAAATAGAAATCATGTAAATGTGGAAAAATATAGTTCATGTTGATTCAAGACCTGACTATACCTTTGCACAGTTCAGTAATGTTTGTGTTTCTATGAATGAACCATCAAAATTTTTTACTTCCAGAATGCGATCTACTTAATTGCTATGTTAATTTCCCAAGGGCAAAAATGCCTGTTTTCGCAAAAGCATTAATAACTAATGATTCCTCTAAAATCACTAGGAAGTGATGGGAAAGACTTAACTGTGCAATCTCTATGCAGGTGAGCAAGCAGATACCGGTTTACACAAATGTAAGACCTCAGGTGGGGAACCATTAAATACAGACGCAAACGCTTCGTTGCCTGTGGTTATTAAACGGTGAAGTTTCACTTACGTCAGGTAAAACTTAAATTTACGAGTGGACAAACGTTTACCTTATGTGTACTGTAATGACCGCACGAGATGTCAGCTGCACTATTAAATTGAACAAGTGCTTAACATTTGAGTCATACACCGATAGCCTCATTCACAATGACCGGATAGTCAGTTACAAGTTTAAAAGACTTGATTAAAAAGACTAGTGGCAACTAAGATACCAATTTACGTTTTTCCATACTGTTTTATGCACCATCTATGAGAAAACATAGCACATTCAGTTGCTTCACTTACAAGTTTCGATCTTGTTTCTGGCAAATTGACGTGTGCAATCAATCTCGGATGTGTACCAAGCCTTTAGCTACTTGTAAAAAAATGTTCTGAAGTTTGGTGCCCCACGCTTGTTTTTACTGCCGATGTAAGATGTCGGAATGAAGTCAACTTCTGTTACTCATTGATTCACTGCCACTTCAACTACGCTGCACTATGCTATGTGTTTCTGACAACACTGTTAAAATCATACAAAGCCATGAGCCCAAGCATTTATTTCGCACAAGTTAAAGGAGTGTGTCAGTTGAAATGGAAATCATTGTTTTCTTGTTATCCTTTATTGAATATCAAAGAATGAAAACAACACATGCAGACCAATATATAAGAAAATGTAATAGAAAATGCTGACAGAGAATGTAGGATGACATTTCTGATGCAACGCCGCATGTGCCGCAGATTTAGTATACCAAGACATGAAATCTTGCTCTCGTTTGTTCTGGTCAATGCATCTGGGAACGTGGTGGCGGCCTTAATCCGGTGACTTCAGTGGAGACGGTATTGGCCACGTAGATGCCAGTCGTAGGAGTCTCTCCGATGAAAATGTCTTCATCAGTTTCGCAAAATTGCTACAGAGTCATTCCCTAGTGACACTAATCTGTGTCAAACATACTTTCTTGAGACCGATTCTACATCAAGGCATTCAACTTACGTGTCTTGTCACAGCAGTATACCAGTAGAGGCCATTATCACTAATATATACAAACATACCAAGACCATTACTGATTCCACGAATTGGGTTGTAGGGCATTGTCAGTTGTTGTAATGAGTAAATTATAAAGATTAACACTTTCCAAGCTGTGCAATAAAAAGCCTCATTGGATATGCCGCACAGCGCAGTGAGACAGGGAACATTCAACCCACGATGAAAAGTTCGAGATTTGTTCCAAGTTTTGTGCATAATGTATTTCTTTGAGCAAGCAGGCGATTCTTGTTCAGTATTATTGTTCTTTTATGCATATGGTTAACGGTATTAGCACCATAACAGCAATGCACTGTCGTCTTATAAGGTTTATGTTCCCTGTCACACCATACTGCATGGATCTAGTGTGGATTTTCTTTCTAGCTGTTTTGTCTTTCATCGGTCGTGCTGACAAGCGTGGTTGTTGGGATCGTGCTGACGTAGTGGAGCCAACCGATCAAGAACTCGAGATTGCCGTGTGTGACCTGAAACAACATTTGCCATGCTTTCACACAGTTTGTCGGACCGAACGGTCTTAAGCTGATGCGAGCATCGACTAGTGCCCCAGGCCTTACTGCAGCTAATGCACCGTCTTTAGCTTCAATACGACCAAAATAAAAAAGGAACTTATGAACTACATGGTTCCCAGAATGAAATCAAATGATTACAAATGTCACGACTACACACACAAAAAAAGGAATGGGTTAAACGGATGAAAGTAGTCACAGTGTCATAAAAGCACTTCTCCAGATTTAGCTAATTCAGAATGCCTTAATGATGGCAATTAGTTCCTCTGTGGAAGCTGTAGAAAGGAGCCAATCACAGTCAAGTGTCACAGACAAGGAGCACTTCAGTTCTCATATCCAAATCCCTGGCTGTTATTCTCATTTCAGGTTTTTCGCCTAACATTTAGTACAGCAATTTAGTGTGCCATCCTCACACAACAACGAGATAGATACAATCAAACAGACATTTAGGTGAAGTTTAAATTAAATGTTAGCAATGCAAATAGCATCATTACAGCCTATCATGCTACAGTAATGTGTTGCAAGAGAGAGAGAAAAAAACGAACTTATCATCACAGAGCCTTTCTTTTAAAAGTGTTGCTCACATTTAAGCTACTAATTGAAAATAGAGCAATTTGTTTGAGCAGACAAAGAAGCAGCAGAAAATAAGAAGGAAGATGTGCGTATACAAAATCCAAAAAAAAAGAGAAATGAATAAAGGGGAATGAGAACGTACCACGACTTGTGGGATCTGGTTACGGTCAGGGTTGCCGTTCCTGTCCTGGGCTGGCGGCTGGTCTGTCGGCGGACGGCAGGTGAGTTGCACCCGCGACAGCGAAGTCACATTACAGATGCTGGTCCCAATGCGCACAATCACGTCAGACTCCTGGCATGCCCGGTCCAGGTTGTTACCCTGAAGAACAATTGAAAGACTATGCAAGAACTATTTATATACTCAAAAAGGAATAAACTGAAAACACAAAAATTTATGAATTAAAATCAACACCACCGTAAACTTTCTGTAAAGTATTCAAAGTGTAAAGCAGTCACTGAAGCCACTAGCCTGCAAGCTTCTACTGAAAATGCGTTCACCTGGGGAAACATGCCTCGGCCATGCTCACTCGTGTGCCACAATTAGCGATATCGGGGACTTTTGGCATGCAGATCATTTTGATATGCGCACAGGGGTCTATAGAATACCGATATATGGAATGCACACCAGTGGAAAGAGGATAAGTTAGGTTTTCACAATAACAATTTCGTGTTTGCCAGGTTGTTTGCATTTCCAAAAAACCCCACTTGCCCGGCCTCTCCCGGTTACGTTACACTGGTAGTAACCCAGTATCATGATAATGCAAAGAAGTCTAAAGACTGAACTAAAGGCTATAGACGATACCTGCATGTTATTTGTAAGCGATGATATTCATCTATACGCTACTGCTCTTTGATAGCTTTTCGTAATATTGGCTTGTAACATACATGTAATGAAACGACACACTAATTGCACTTTTTCTGCGCTTTCAACCAGACGACTGCTGCTCACAACGGTTCCCCAACATGCTGACTGATGAGTACATGTGGGATCATGCTCTTTTCTTTTTGCCTTCTTTTATGAGTGGTATACGTCTTGTAATTACGTGATATCATTCACAGAGGTGCTAAGAAGATCAGACATAAAGAGTGAGAGCATTTACAGGTGTCAGTGCCAGTCGGCCCCACTATAAGAACACTCGTATCGTAGACATCATGACCACTAGTGCATGGTCACTCAGGATGGTATGCGAGTTGTATCACACTCAACTCGTAGCACCTAGGTCAATGTCGCAGGGCACTTTATTCCAGCTGAGCTTTCGTACACTGTCTACCGTCTAAATAAAATAACTTCCACACAACAGACAGCTCTCAAATTTGGCCAAGAAGACCTTTGCATACCTAGCAATCAAATGAAGGGCACATCATGATTTTCAAATTTAATCTCAGTGCCCTTTCAACATACTAAGCTTCAGGAAATTTCGTTGAGCCAATGTTGACAAAATAGAAAAATCCACTTTGAAATTTGTGATGTTAGACATGGAAATTTCAGCATGAAGCTAAACAATGAAACCTTGACTTCGATTTTCTCCTCTATTATTTAAGCCTATGATTGCGAAATTACCAAAATTAGGGTTACAAAAGTACAGTCTATCAACATAAACAAATTTATTGCTCCACTTTACCTACTTTAACATATTTCATCGTTCTCATGAGTTGTGACAGTTGCCACACAAATTCAGGCCACTCACATTGATGGTAAGGTAGTCGCTCTTGTAGTACTTGATCTGGTCCTTCTCCGTGAAGGGGAAATACTCAGGGTCTGGGAACATCTGGAAAGGTGGGAAGCCCTTGGTGGACCACAGATTTCGCACTTGCTCGACGGCGTCCATGCGGAAGCCGTATTCCAGCTCCACAGGGACGTCTGGGTTGCCCCCGAAAGACAGCTTGTCCTTGGGGACCGCCGGGCTCTTGCATTTCATCTGCTGGGCCGAGTCTGGGATGCATCTCTGCGTTGTCATCAATGCAACAGTCAGACAAGCCGACAAAAGTGCACTGAGAATGGTGACACAAAGTCAAAGGGGCATTTCAAAGGAGACAATAAAGACAACAATTACACGAGTGTTACAAAGAAATGAACTTTAGAAGATGTTTCAAAAGCAGCTTTAATATGAGAAGAGGCCTCGGTAAGGTATCTTCTCGTGGTAATAAAAAATCCTTTCAAAACACTAGTACAAATCTAATTTTCCTTAGAAGCCTGAGCTGTCCGAGACGCCTATTCCGAGGCACCTATTACCATTTTTATATAGTATTACTATAACAAAGTGTCACGAAAAACGAGACACTATACCCTTACAGTTAGGATCTCGAAAGCTATCCAGCTTACTGAAGTACTGCAAATTTCAGTCCAATGTTAACGACATACCCTTTAAGCTTCATTTTATTTGCCACACATATAAAATGTCCTAAACTGTATTGTTCATATACAATTACGCCTTCATTTGTTTAGCATGACCAACCATGGTTTTATGTTAGTGCATATTTCAAGTAACAGAAATGGAAGTCATAGTTGATATTAGGTAGCACACCAAGCAGTGAGAAAACAAAAAGAAAGGGATGGTGCAGCAACTTACACTGTAGTGTTCCTCGCCGTCGAGAGTGATGTACATCATCGGCTCCTGAACTGCGTTCAAGTTTCGCCCCTTGACAGTCACCGTGATGCCACCACTGCAAATAGAGAACTCCTGTAAGTTCTCAATTCACATCTTGACTGCTGCAGGAGAAAGCCGAGACCACTACCCAAATGTCTGTGTGCAACTGCCTGCATTAATGCTAGTCAGAATGCAGCCAGTCTGCCATCTTTTGTGTAGAAAAACAATGAGTTGGTGTTTTTTTTTCTCTGTATTGCCTAAAGGAGCACGCAACAGCAAATGTCCGTTGCAGGTATTGTAATCTGTACAAGACTAGTGCCATTCGCCTTTTTTTTTTTTTCAACATGACCTGTCAACAAATCGTTTAGCAATCAACACGGAGTGAGGCAACAAGTCCAGAAGTTAACTCCAAAATTTGGGGGTGTGAATGTTGAGCTGGTTCGCTTGATGCTTGCGCCAATAAAAATGTGGAATGTGTGTCTTTAGTGAGCCTTAGGCATGGCTTTTAATGGAGTTTCATAGCAGTGCTACTTGACTACCTGAAAATAGAGCCAGAGGTGCTGATAAAGCTTAGCCACGACATGTAGTGATCAACCTAGCGGTTTTTTCGGCCTTACTGCAGTCGACGTCCGATTTCCCTCACGCCCGAAATTTCGGACATGCCTGATTTTCCGGACTCATCTGTGCCACCCTCAAGTTTCCCATAGAGTCAACGTATAAAAAATCCGAAATTCCAGACGTTCATAGCTTTCGCCATCCGATTTTCCAGACTATTTATCGCTAACAACAGACTCGAAGTCACTATTGCCGCCGCCATTTAGGTTTCTTCTTTTTTTTTTTTTTTCAGATCCTCTAACCCACTGCGCCGCAGCTGCCATACCCTTGAAACTGCAAATGCTGCAATCCAACACACACCAATTCGTTGCCAGCCATAGCCTCTGGCCGTAGCTTAGGCTGCATGGTGCTGTGCAGCCTCTGCTCCGACAGTGGCAAAATCTATGCTGTTGACCTTTAGTCTGCCGTTGGCATGCTTGTAGACTCGTGGAAGGCGGTTAAGAAGCAGACCCTTTCGAACTTGTTTTCAAAATGCGAGCTTCATACTGAACGCCGAGACGGCCGTCTCGCCCGGAGAGGGCACCGTGTGCGACGAACTTCCACTCGCGGATGTTGCCTAGCTTCGACTATCTTCAAGTTGCTGGTGTTTCGATTCCAGCCGGGATAACCCTTGAGGGCTTCGCAAATGCTGACGAAGACTTCGAGCTGTGTGTGGAATTGACCAACGATGAAATCATTCGTAAAGTCACGAAGAATTCTGACAACTCCGACACCGAGATCAAAGAGGCAGTGCCTACACAGCCAACGAGCTCGGAGTTAACGTGAGTACTGACACTGTCATCGGTGTACAGCGACAGCATGACTGAAATTGAGGCAGACATCATCGCGAGCAAGTGGAAAGCTGTGCAAACAAAAATAAGCTGATTTTTTTTTTTTTTGTACCCGAGTGTTTAAAATGCGGTAGCATGGCCCCATCAGAATTTTTTTGTTTATTTCTTTCGGCTCTTTTCAGAGCCACTTAAATTATGCATTTGCAGAGTTGCAATGAGAACCCTGTACTCCTGCCGTGACCCTCTCTGTTGGTGAGAAAAAACCTACTTTAAAAGTGTGTTCTCGCTTGCATTCATTTTTTTCGACTGCCCGATTTTCCGGACGTTTTCGTGGTCTCGCGAGGGTCCGAGAAATCGGACGTCGACAGTACTTACGCTTTTCCAGCCAATTCAGCACGTTTTTCTCACACTAAAAAATTGACATCTCATAAACAGTCTCACCCAAAAGAACATGTTCGCTCGACCTGCTGGCATCACCAACCTTCTCACCTAGAATTTGTGCAAGTGCTGCACCCAATAGCACTTACTCATATTCATGACATCAAGCACTTTTTGAGTGTAACACAGAATTGACCTCCCAAAACACACACATGTTCTATCACTGGCTTTAAGTTGAAAACTTGAACACCCTAGTAAATTTTGTCAGGGTTTCAGACATCGCTGCTGAGTCAAACAATGATTCAGGTAGTAAAGACGTTTGAACCTCCGACTATTTGTATACGTAATATTCACACTTGCCAAAAAAAAAGTGCTTGTGATTAGAGTGGAAACCAGCTTGCCCAACAGTCTTTCACAGGTGAATGGCAGACGTCCCGTGGTTCTGTGGCAGAAGCCTAATGTTTTCCTTAGGTTGTAGTCGAATATTGTGATCTCTGCGAGACTGTTTGACCTACTGGCATGGTGGTGCTCACCTTGGAATTCCTCGTGGGACGCTGGAGTGCCTGGCAGAGCCAGACTCCACCTTCTCAATCTCGGGATCCTCGACGTAGAGGTAGATGTAGTCCTCAAAAAGACGCAGCCCTTTGTCAAACTTGACCCTCACCTTGCCCTCGTTGAATGTTGTGGATGCGCTAGTGTTGCAGCTCACCACGTTTGGCTCCCGCCTGCCGGGAAAGAGGAGCAAAGATGTGAGCACACCAACTCAACTTTCAATCTAGTATATTAAGAACCACACTATCGGGAGGGGGTGGGGGGCACTACATAAGGGGTGGGTGTACGAACATCTGACAGGTTGATCATACCATGACATCAAATGCTTAAGGACCAGCAAAGATGGCATGTAAATTTTCACTCCCTGATGCTATATCGTAAAATTTCTGCACATCATTAGAACCGGCTGTGACGATATTTCAATGCTTCCATATTACCAGCGAAAACATACAACAACTCTAAAAAAGAGGGCAGGATCCATATTACCAGCGAACACATACAACTCTAAAAAAAGGGCAGGATAATTGCCAATAGCTTTCCTCGCCGACTAAAAATACCAGGAAAACAGGTCTCCATTTAAAGTTGCAACTTACGTGATGATTTGGCAGGGCATTCCCCCGACAAACTGCTTCAGCATGACTGCCAGCGTCCATGTGCAGACCCCAGATGAGCAGCCTCGTGCCTCCAGACTTCGGCCCCTTGCTTGGGTTTATCGAGGTAATTCGTGGGTTCTGCAAAGACAGTTAAATGAAGCGTGTAAGAAGATGGCAGTTGCTGCTAAAAAAAAAAGTGCACAAAAAGGGCTGTTCAGCACAATTAATGAAAGGTACGATCTCTTCTAGGTGTGCTAAAATCAAAAAGAGGCACTGACCACGAAGGAGTAATTCTGCCTCGACTTGGCCGTGTAGTCGTTGAGGACCTTGACAATGACGGGACCCGAGATGGTGCCACTTGGGGGGCTCGTCGTCAGGTTTCGAGGGCTCTCGATCTCGCACACAATTCTGCGAGGATTGAGCAAAACAGCACGCTATAGGGCTTTCTGTCCCAATAACTACATGAAAGTGAACACTTTCCTGACAACTTCCCTAAAGCTTCCAGCAGGCATTAAACAAATGCTCCTATATCAACTCGCCTCGTTTGTTTTAGGGCGGTACGAGCGGAGAGACAGCTGCAGTGCTATGAAAGCTGAATTGGGTTGGGAATTGCTTTCTTTACGCAGGAAAAAACTGCGTTTTAAGTTTTTCTTTTCTGTTTTTGATGGGCGGACTGGGATTGACCGTCATAACTATTTCAGTGAACCCAGCTACATATCTAGTCGACATGACCACCGACGCAAAGTGAAAGAGTATCGAGCAAGAACGACCATGTTTTATAATTCCTTTTTTGTGATGACCATTAGAGATTGGAACCAGCTGCAAGACGAGCAAGTGTGCTGTATAAACGAAGAATTGTTTTATTCCAGTCTGTAACCCCCCTGCTGTAACGCCTTTTTGAGCAAAGCGGGGTACTCACTGAATAAAGAATAAAGAATAAAGAATAAACTCTAAACCAGAAACAAATAACTGCAGGGGTTTTACATCCCGAAAACATTAAACGATCGTGAGAGTTGCCTTAGTGGAGGGCTCCGGAAATTTCGGCCACCTGGTGTTCTCCAATGTGCACAACAATATATAAGCCCATGGGTTTTGAGCATTTTGCCTCTATCGAATAAGGCTGTCAAAGCTAAGTGTGATCCTACGCCCTTTGGGTAAGCAGTCGAGGCATCGGAAACAAACAAGTTGTATTTATTCATTAGTGGTTAGTAAATTAAAACAAATAATGATGAATATATATTGTGGCCCCTCGCATTGCATTCATTTCGACTTTAAATGCTCCAATCTTTCTTGTAATGACAAGAGATTTCACTAGTTATCAGATTTAAATGTACATTAAACCCTCATAATAAGGAGGTTTTACTTTACGTTTTATTTGAATTATCGCCTTTATCGAAGTGTCAAGCAGTCCAAACCCCAATGTGTGTATTTTATACCGGATTACTTGAAGCATGTCGATAGCTTGCTACGCTTGGAGCAAAGTGACTAGTTGGAGATCTGTATTCACGGCGGAGTGGGCGAGCGATCGCCCACACCGCTGAACTGCCTGTGCGTTTTTTCATCCACGTCCCGCAGTGAGCGGCCTTTTCTGATCTGAGCAAGCGATGGTCGTGCTAGTGTCGCAGGGCAAAGCACGCCAGTGCAGACTGGTGCAGACGGCAGGATAGTCTTTGCACCGCAGATTTTACCCTCTTCCTCCGCACCCCACTCCAGTACTATCTGGTACGGAGGCTCTCAAAGCATGCTGGCTGCTTCTTGCCGCTACGCACCTGGCTATGCCGGTAGTGTCACGTGATTAGTACAGAGCCTCGGCGAGGCGTGCTCCCTGGATTTTTTCAATCCGTGGTTGAAAGACACCTGTGCGCGCGTGTTGTGCGAGGTCTGTGTGAATCTGTAACATTGTGTGCCCGCATCGTGAATGCTTGTAGCTGTCGTCAAGTGAAATGGCACCGTCGGTGCCCGTACAGAAGTGTCGGACATTGGAGCAGAAAGTTCAACTGATACGCGAAGTGGGAAAATGAGGCTGGTAGAAGTCCGAAATTGTAAGACAGTTCGGGATACTGCCATCAACATTACCAACTGTTCAGAAGAATAAGGATGCCATATTGGAATGCTTTGAGAAGACAGTCTCACCCAAACAAAACCGTGATTCTATGTATCCTGAAGTGAAAAGAGCACTTCTCCAATGGCTGAAAAAAGGGCAGAGCAAAGGCACATGCTTTTTGTTATTCACTATCGCCCCAGCATGGCATGATTGAAAACTTGCAAGCGATCACTTCGGAATTTCTACCAGCGAATATGACCGTGATATTGCAGCCCATGGACGAAGGCATTATTGAGAGAAAACGAAATTTTGACTGGAAAAGTATTTTACAACGGATGCTCGTTGCGATGATACCAACAAGGGGTACAGCAGTGCATTTACTATGCGAATCATGGAAAGAACTGGCACCTGCAAAGGTGGCAGGCTACCTCGCACACGCCAGATTTTCCCGGTTGCACGTAGAAGACACTGATAATGACTGCAAAGACTGAGACAATCTCTACGAAGCTGTAAATAGCATCAATGGCAAAGATTTGGAAGGCAACCTCAAATCGTTCGCAACGGCTGATGCAGATATACCCGTCCTTGCTCCAGCTACGGATAGCGAAATAGTCGACTTTCTTGGAGGCCTCGTGGAGAAAGATAGCCGCTAGACAAACAGCCTCGCTAAATACCAAAAGTGGCACAAACGTAGGAGAGCCTCCACCTGTTGCAAAATAGAATAGAGCGTGTACGCGGCGACCACGACGTCACATTTTCCCCGAACAAACTGGAGTAGGCACTATTCGCGCTCAGCCGAAGCACCCGACAAAGCCAGCTTACTGACATTTTTGGGCATGAATGAAGATTTGTTTCACTGAATACCACTTCTGCGAAGTCGTCATGGCCAATTTAGCTATACTTTCTGAGCCTTTATGGGTCAGTGGCATATATCTAACTACCACTCATATGGAATTTTTTTGCCGTCTGGCTGACTTCGTTATAATGAGGGTTTACTGTATGTTTGAATAACACACATTGACTGACCTAGTAGTCTTGACATACAAGTCCTTGTGGGGGACACAGGGAATTTGGGCAAGGGAGACTCCGTTGACCTCCTTGGACACGTGGATGCCGTTCTGGATATCCTGGAAGACTCTGCCGAGGTTGTAGCCCTCGATGGTGATGTTGGTGCCACCTTCCCAGGGTCCTGATGTCGGGTAGATCTGAAACATAATTGAACAAGTGCATCAGCAAGGAAGACTAGATAGATAGAAGAATTGGCTTGATACGCCCATGATCAGTTATCTATTCTATTTGACATGCACCCACAAATGTGGCACTTACAGTCGATTACTGACTGATTACAGTAAACTAACTGTTACTATAAATATTTTCTGGTAAAACGTTTTCTTTCTGGTGCCATTTATGTGACCATAAGGAAGAACAGAAAATCTCTGACATGATTTTTGAACAACTGTAAACTACCAAGTGGTGAGACTATGAAATGACATTGAACTTGCAACAAAACAAATCAACTAACCAATATGACCCCCCCCCCCACTCCCCCCAAAAAGCTACTGTTGATAAAACCAAACATATCCTTAACAAGATGCACATTAAGTAAATAACTGTGTAGCTGTGATACTAAAAAACCTGCAATGACTTAATCAGCACAAGGCGTACATTCATTACAAGAAACCATGTATATTTATGCAAACATGAAATGTAATCTCAACTTTCCCCGCCTCAGTGGTCTAGTGGCTAAGGTACTCGGCTGCTGACCCGCAGGTCGCGGGATCGAATCTTGGCTGCGGCGGCTGCATTTCCGATAGAGGCGGAAATGTTGTAGGCCCGTGTGCTCAGATTTGGGTGCACGTTGAAGAACCCTAGGTGGTCGAAATTTCTGGAGCCCTCCACTACGGCTCATAATCATATGGTGGTTTTGGGACAAAAAACCCCACATATCAATCAATCAATCTCAACTTTGAAGCCACCCATGATCTCACAACACAAAGTAGAACTACCTGGTTCTCGATCAGAAAATTCTGCAGCTCAAGAAAATCACTCCTGCCAATAATATCATGGAACTGCAGAGCGTGACACCTCGACCCCAGCTCACCCTGGTGATTTGTGGGTCGGGGCAGGTCTGCGTGCGCTCCAGCCACTTGGTGGCGTGGCCGTCACACTGCTCCTGCACCTTGCACGAGTTGCTCTGCTGGCACCAACCACACGCGTACTTCTCGGGAAGTTCCAGGCAGAGGCCACAGTTCTCCGACATGTTCTCGCAACGGTACACGAGAACTGCGCGTGGCACAAAAACCTTCCATCACACATCTGCACCAACTGCTTTGTTTAATTAAACACACCAGCTAATTGTTACACTGTCGACAAAACATTGCAGCCGACGATGCCTTGCAGCCGACGATGAATGAAGGTAATGTGGTGGAGCTTAGAAAAGAATGCTATTCAGCAATGTTGTGGTTACAGTACCTAAAACTAACACTATGTAATGCAAACACTAGATATGATTTAGGCAATATTAGGCAATATTAAATGAAGTTAGTAAATACAATGACTGGCTGTCAAAGGCCTCTATTCCAGACAAGCTGAAATTTAATCAAAATTGTTGTCGACATTGTTGTGTACACTGTTGACATTATTATTCACTGTTATAAGAAGTGGTTAATAAAAATGCATGATGTCAATAAGATGTAGACATAAGACCAAGGATCATCCCAAATCAAAGTGGCGAAAACATGACCAGAGAGAGAGGGCGGGGGAGATAGTGTTATAGAAATGAGTGGGAAAAGAAACATCCCTACAATACAACTACAAGTACAATAAAAGAAAACTAATACATACAAACTACAAAACGCCGATCAACCAACTTGCAGAATATATACTTGATGGTCTTATAACAAACAAGGAGAAATGCATCAAACACACAAAGGACGTACCGTGGATATGCTCGGGGTTGTCCAAGGGCTTACTACCTTCCCAGATGACTGCAAACGCAGCTGTGATATTTGGAGCTTGTGTGCCGTAGTTAAACTGCAAAGGAAGGGAAAAGAACAATGTTTTCTCAATGTGAGTGACTGGTGTGGGTTTTAAAATGCAAAAGGTCGATGAAAGTTATGAGGAAAAAAAAAAAGTGAGAGAGAGAGAATTGAGTACCAGTTACCTGCATGTTTTCACAATATATCGTGTCTCCTAGAAGTTGAGCGTTCACTTGTTTCACTCTACCTTCAATGTTGAACTGGCACACAAATCTTGTAGAGGCAATAAAAGGCTGGAAAGAAATAAACATGACGATGTAGGTTCTAGTGCCTTTTTCCAGGGGAGAAAAATTGCATGGAGGAAATGATATAATGCATGGAAATCGACTAAATGATGATTCACCTGAATATTTTCGACTTTGACTTGAATGCGCTTGTTGATGCCCATTGGCACGAGAATCTCGGTGGAAATGCCTGTGGTCGCATTGATACGTGGGCAGAACCCAGGTCCTGATCGAATGCTGGGTCCCACACTCTGCAGAAACACGAATGTTATCAGAAAGCAATTCCTTTGGGGAAATAATTTTTGTAATTCACTTATTTGCTAATGCAACACATTATTGATGGTTCCAAAATGCTCCTTCAGAATAAATTTTGAGTGCATATCGTGACACAATTGAATGGCAAAGTGATTCGGCTCCACAATAAAACGTAATGCTGTACAAAACTTTACACCTACAAACTGTGCAATACTGGTAGGGTAATCACATGCTTTGACTTGCACAATTGGCGATTTACAGTAACCTCGGAGCAGTTATATTGGGACTATACAAAGTGACACACTATCAGTTTATACCACCCTAAGGTAACGTGAGAACTATATGGCTCTAAACTTCACCATCATGGGTTCATTATTAGAAGCAAAAATCAAAATCTTATTTCTGAGTTTTGCGACCAAGCTTCAGCACCTGGATGTCAGCGTGATGTCATGGACTTCAGTCCTTTTTGCATACTTTCACTACCATGAATCAGTGCAACTTCCTGGAGCTCGGAATGTCAGATCTCTGACTCCCTTAGAACACAATTTTATTGTATAAAAAAGGCATGAATCTATCCCCTAATACTCGGCCACTTTCTTGGGTAATCAGAATGAGTTGAAGGATTCTCACCGATACACCCGTGACGAGGATGTCGTTGCGGCAGTTCTCGCCCGTGTCATGAGTGCAGCGGTGTCCGCCAACACACCAGTCGCAAGGAAAGGGACTGGAGACGCACTGGGTGCACCTGCATACATCACAAACAACAAAATGCTCTGGCTAAGACTGAGCTTTCAAGGCAAAAACCTAGAACACCAAATGGTTTTTCTTTCAATCTGTCTGAAAGTAAGGGGCAGAAGATGTCAGTGCTGCATGGGGCAGCACTCCAGTGCAATGCGTTTTCTTGAACTTAGATACAGTTGTTGCCACCAGCGATCGCGGAAACTATTTTGTTATACTGCTTAACAATATGCCTCATTACCAGCCGCATTAGTCTTTGATGACTGAAGACATTTTAGCGTGGTTATAACGAAAAAAATCGGCCGACCATTCATGTGGCCACTAATTTCTACAGGTTGTCCTCTAACAGTCTCATAGCGTACTGGATTCAAGACTCCAAAGAAAAGGGCCATTTCTTCATGCCTGCATCTGCTCTTCCTCGATGCTGAGCATCCGGTCACAATTTCAAGACTGTATTTTATGGCTCAAATAAAGTTTTCTCTCTCACTCTGAAATCTTTGCAATAACCATACTTATAAATGTTCAGTCTGAAGCAAGGGGCAGTAGCCAAAATTCTTACACCTAGCATCGTAAGGCTGCTTTCAACCAGTTACGCTATGATCTTTGGAAGCAAGATTACTCTCATTCGTGCTATCTAAAATTTTTCAAGTTTCCTTGAGGGGCCTATGAATGTCTTCGGTAAAAAAAAAAAAAAAAGAATATCACACCTCAGAATGAAGTGAATGTAGGGAAACTGGTATGAAGGCCGTTGAAAACCTGCTGTACAGCATGTGAACAAGCCTTCAACAATATTTCAACTCTTTTATGAGAAAAAAAAAAGCAATAATAAGCCAGCTTACATGTTAAAACAAAGCTGAAAAATAAGAGAGAAAGAGTTTACATCACTGCTCTTTCGACCCTTGAAAGATCGCAACACTAGGTTTTTTTTCGGTGAAGTATACAAGTAATATGGGACACTCACGAAGTGTAGGTACTGCAGTCGTAGAAGGTGAAGTTTGTCGCTACAAAGTCCGGGTTGCTCTTCATCCTCACAGACAATTTGGCCGTGAAATGATCTGCAGTTGAAAAGTAAGGCTCAGTAAGCAATGCATGAATAAAGCAAATGTAACCTGATGGAGTGCCTAAAGAGCCTTAATGCATTTTAGAATATGATTATAGCCATTTCATATACTGAAAGTGCTTAAAACGAAAGGTGGAACAGAAAACTCTGCCTTGGCTTAGATCAGAAAACTAAGTATGGAAATAAAGTGTGATTGCACTGACATATTCCACCTTAGATGAAAAGACATTGAAGATATTATAATTGGATTTCCTTCAACCAAATAAAAAGTGAAGGGCCCCTCACGTTCGCCCGGTGGGATTGGCGGCAGAGAGTCGGTATGCGGGGTGGGACAGCTGACACCATTGGTCAAGCGCGTGGCATTGGTTTCCAGAGTCTTGGAGAAGGCCGTGAAGGCGCAGAAGAATTGGCCGTCCAGAACAGGAAGGTTCCCTATCACCAGGCTCAACTGCAATGCGACATTGTTGTAACTAGGTGAGCACACTTACCTTAATAGAGAGGATATAATCATTATGTTTGCTTTGCAGTAGTAGTGACATCACGTATAACAAACAAGTGGTTACATAAATGACTGCATGGTTTTCCCACAATCATAATATTACTGTATGCTAGGAAATACAGTTTTTATTGGTGATATACAACAGGTTGTGCCAGTTTACACTGACAAGAAATCAAATATAATATAGTCTAGAGAGCCAGATTGCCATACTGCATGCTGCATGGGTGCCACTAATTGACAATATTATTTAGATACCTCGTCTCTACACACCAATGAGACTGGGTTATAACCTTTCCATCCTACTGTTCGTGGGGCATTCAACAGCTGTGATTACGGAAACCATTACGTAGCATATACTGAAACATAAAAACAACTGCTGCCACCACAACACATGCTTTCTACTGCTGCGAGGTTTTTCTCGTCTTCAAAACTGCACTTTGCGGCTATACAAGCATGTGCTACATGCCCAGTACCACAAAGACAATAGCACTCACAATGCGAGCAGTAGTTCGTTGAATCTGTGCTGGCTGTACACTGGTAATAGTGGTACACTTGCCACTCTTGTATGAAAGCCAGTATAGTGGGTCCTGGGCAGCCTCGGCACAGTTGCTCCTAAGGCTGCACCTGTGGGAAACATTTGTGTGACGCGATCAACAAGAAATGTATATCAACAATGAAGTCACAACCAGACGGTCCTATGTCTTTCATGCTCATTGATTATTCATTTGGTGATTATCTGCCGCATAGCATCCACACACATAAAGAGCTAATAGGAAGAACCAGACACATTTACAATTTGTTATGGATGAAAAAGCAAAGCCAAATGAAACATGAGCAGTGCTAGATTTTCCTGTGCACATACTAACAACAAGCAAGATTGTAATCACTGCAATAATAAATAGTTGTTGGTAGCCGCTCGCTTAATAACAGAGTGTTTCCCTTTTGCATCTGATGTAAACAATGACGTAAAAAAATGTACAGAAAAAAAGCAGAAAATACAGATCACCACTATAAAGGCAGCCCAAAGATAGACATGCTTACGCTTTGATTACATTTGCAACAATAGAAAAACATCATGGCACAAAGATTACACGCTTCTTACAACAAAGCAGCAAAAATTTCAACAAAGACAGCTTCTGGTCGCAGCACAAAAATCATATGTTTCTTACACCAAAGCAGCAACAATTACAACACAACCAGCCCCTGGTTAATACCACGACAAGGCTTGCCTACCACGATTGCCTTTTAATATCAAGCTCCTTGTTTTTGGGAAATTAACGGGACACTAAAGGCAGGACACTAGAATAAGTCGATGTTGATTGTCGAAATAGCAGTCCAGAAACCTCTTAGTGCTACATTTGAATGAAGACCTAGCTTATTTTAAAATAAAATCACGTTTTAGTGACCGCATCGCATTAGCGCAGTTCAAATCCCCTGCCTGAAAATGTACTATCCCAAGTAACTGTTGCTGTGGCCAACACTGCCCACCTTTACTGCGCGGCCGCCGACACAAGTAGCAGAAGAACGAAAGTAGTGGGAGCCACAGCAACAAGAATGGCCATTGAATGGTCCAGTCAGCAGGCTCATACTTTTTTTTTACACCCCCTAAAGGTGCTCGGCAATTCGTAGAGTAGACCGCGGCGATCACTTTTTCAAAATATTACAGCACTGCATGACGTGCAGCGCCTTCATTTCGAAAAACAAGTCCTGCGCTCTTTTCCTATGCCTGACCAATCCTCCTTTCATCCGTAGTCATGCGAAGTCGCTAATTGGCAATTTGACGTAGCACGCAGCTTGTCGATTGGCCTAAACCAGTCACGGCGACGGACTACGCTTTTCCCTCCCTGTGAGAGAGAAGGATGGCGAGGCCGGCCAAACATTTTAAACCTACTGAAACCGATGTTCTAACTCCTGTAACTTCCTTAATATAGCACGTATTCTCAAAATTCTTGCGGCAGCATGCCCACAAAGCACAAGTGCACATATTTGTCTCTATAAAAAAAATTTTACCCCATGGTTGTTTGCAGGCCCTTTGAACAATTTTCTGCTTGTTTGGTTCAACTGAGCCACGCTAGATGGCACCATTTATTCAGCCTAACCAGGCAAAAACAAAATTTTCGAAACACTCGCGCCATTCCACACAGTAGCGCCAGGCGGTTATTTTTTCTATAAATCAAACAGAAATGGTCAAGCAGCTTTTTGTTAAATCTCTTGATGCAAGGAAGGTTCTTTTTTTTATTGCAGCTAATTTGATTACTAGTGATTATTCGTAGTCAGACACTCTCCCATCATTGGGATCATTTCACAAATGTCCCACTCGTGGCGCACGTCGTGTGGTACATTTAGCTTGATTTCCAGGTAAGTAGGACACTGCTGTTGATAACATTGCCATTTTAGACATTATACATTGAGCTTTCACTCTGACATAGATTATTATTTGCCTTTAACGTACCTTTGAGAATGCTGAACAAGCAACAGAAAACCTTAAGGGAAATCTGAGACAGAGCACTTAAAAAACGACTTCTTAATTTACGCTGTATATAAAGTACTATAAGCATACTTGTTTTCTAAGGGAACACCAGCCGCAGTACGGGTCTTGAGCACCAAGGCAGTCTATGCAGGTCTTGTACTGGTGGCACTCTTGGACTTTCACCCTAGTCACCTGCAGAAAAGTATACATATGAACATTCAGCATAAATAGTACAATACAATATATAATCATAGTGCAAAACTTATTTTTAAAAAAGTGTGACTGGACAAAATGCTGTGGTGTGTTAAGCTCTCTGTCTCCAGGAAAATGAAGGTCTTGACAAAGTGACTGATAAAATACAGCTTAGGTAAAAAAAAAAAAATCAAGCGACAGTAGTTACAAATATTTGGAATCAAAATTTTGTTTGAAATGGGCAAAATTATTAAATCTATGATAAAACGTAACTCAACAGGTTTCTTACAAGAGGCACAAAATAACGCTGACAGGTAAAAATATTAGAAAAAAAATGAGCAAGATAGGTTGTTTGTAACAAAATCCCCGATGTTTACAATGTGACTGTTCATGACCATTGTTAAACGTTCGTAACAGATGCATACAGTACATGGAGGAGTAGGATGAAAGAAGGGGGAAGGACCAAAGCCTATGGGGCCTTCTAACCACAGTTGCTACGAAAAAGCCCGGCGCACGTTTTCCCGTCAGACCACGGCGTCGATATTTAAGTTCGAAATAAAACAGAGCCAGAAATAAGCGATGACCCAGAAACACGTTGCACAAGTGCAACCGCACCACTGAGACTGAGTGAGGTAGATGGTGGGCATGACGAAGGCTGTTGCCAAGGCGACCAAACACTGAAAACAACGGGGGAATTTATATAAAATCAACGAAAACGAGAGTAGGCGCAGACGAACCATCGAAATCGACAAATGAAACCCGCCGCCGACGTCCGCGCAGTTTCTATGGAAACGCATCACGCACGTCGAGAAGGAAGGAGGAGGAGGAAGGGAGCACCTGTGGCCGCGCAGAGAGATAAAAACAGTCGGCCAACGCGGTTAGCGCTGCATTTGCATTATTTTCTTTCTAGTTCTGATGAAAGAAAAATATGCTGCACTTCGCGGTCTTTAGTCAGCCACTGGGCATGCTCGGAACACTTATGTATCAGTAGCATTTATACGAGGCAAATTCACAGGTTACTATGGTTTACATGATTTTGAATGATCCACATGCGCGTTTCATTAAAAGAAGAAAAAAAGGCAATTAGCGTATCCTACGGTACGTCTGCAGTTAGCCTTTGTTTTACAAGGCCCGCCACAGTCGTCTAGTGGCTAAGGCACTCAGCTGCTGACGCGCAGGTCGCGGATCGAATCCCGGCCTCATTTTCGATGGAGGCGAAAATGCTTGAAGCCCGTGTGATTAGATTTAGGTGCACGTTAAAGAACCCCAGGCGGTCGAAATCTCCGGAGCCCTTCACTATGGCGTGCCTCATAATCATGAGGTAATTTTGGGACGTTAAACCTTAACAATTATTATCATTATTAGCCTTTGTTACAAGCTGTGAAAGTAGGCAAATCACTCTGGTGATGTTATAAAAGTTGCACGCTTTGCTTATTTCAACCACACTCACAATAAGTGAATTGCTATTTTTTGTGAGCGTGCGGGATGGCGCGTAATATTTCACTCTCTCCCTCTCTCAGTGTGTGTGTGTGTGTGTGTGTGTGTGTGTGTGTGTGTGTGTGTGTGTGTGTGTGTGTGTGTGTGTGTGTGTGTGTGTGTGTGTGTGTGTGTGTGCCATCCGTGTAACCAACACGAAGGGTGCAATCCAGGCGATAAACCAGGCTATCACCTCTGGAATACCATTAAAAACTGCCATCTCTAAAAAATCTCGTTGATAACCTAGGCAATTCAAGCTTCGTTTACGCCGCACCTCCCCCGAAATGCAGTGTGCGGTACCTCCTGGGTCCCTGTATCAGACGCAACCATGGCTAGCCGACCAATAGTGGCGCTTGCCTATAACGATTGATTGATTGATATGTGGAGTTTAACGTCCCAAAACCATCATATGATTGAGAGACGCCGTAGTGGAGGGCTCCGGAAATTGAGACCACCTGGGGTTCTTTAACGTGCACCCAAATATGAGCACACGGGCCTACAGCGTTTTGCCTCCATCGGAAAGAGACAGAGAGAGAGAGAACCACGCTACCAGGAGAACAAGAAGCGAAAACGAAGGCAACACGCTTGTTCGCAGAAACTGCGTACACTATGCGTGGGAGAACACGGGACGACAGAGCGGGCGCTACACAAAGGCAGCGGCGCGAAGCGGGTGAGAATGCCCTAGAAAACGGGAAAAAGAGAGAAAAAAGCCGACGAAACGGAGAACGGCGCGGAAAACGAACCCTGCGGCGCAGTTGCGAGCGCAAAGAAACGGAGCCTCAAATGAGATGCGCTCCGCAGAACAATGACAGCAACAGCAGCACCACCGCAGGGGAAGCGGAAGATATCTGAATAGGAAAAAGAAAGAAAAAAAAAACACAAAGACGATAATAAAAGGACTCGGCGGAACGGAAGCAGTCGCTACAAATCTACGCCGTTCGAGAAACCGAGCGGCGGCCGGGTAATTGATATGCCATACGCTTCTCGCTTTCCAAACTTTCCCCCCCATCCCGTTTAGCGCAGCGTAGGGAATGCGCCGAGCCACACCCTCTTCCACGGAGCCCGCCCGTGCGCGCGTCTGCGCGTACGTAAACTCGTACACAAGGAACGCGAGCGAAAATGCGTTTATAGAACAATAAAAAAGAAAGTGTAAAACCTCGCAAAAATTCTGGCCGCGCACGCGGCTTCACCACACCCCGCGAGCGTCGTGGCATTTTCGTTCTCTTCGCGAATGCCAAGAGAAAACGCGCGAGGCAACGGATGAAAGGGAGGGAAGCATACTGCACGGGTTGCCGAAGGTAGAATATGGCTGCCCTAGCGCACGCCAAACTGAACTCGTCGACGACGCCTTCTCCACCGACGGCGACGAGAAAAAGTGAATTTCACGGATGAAGGGAGCTCGAGCCACGAGACGTTCGTTGCGGCGATGCGGAACGACTTGTTTTTTTTTTTTTTCTTCTTTTTCCCCCCTTCACGCAACCGCCCCTGCCTGCAGGAGTGGGCGGGCGTCCACGGCCATGGACGATGATGGGTTGATCCAATGGGCGCTCGAAGAACTAATGCGATGATAATTTTGGGGGTTCTACATCCCGAAACAACATGGAGGGTACTGGAAATTTTTCACCCCCCAATGTTGCTTAACGTGCACCCGAATCTAAGCACGCGGGGCTCTAGCGTTTCCGAAGGCGAAATCACTTTTTTTTTCTTAACAGCAGAGTGCATTGAATCCCCCTCCCCCCTCGCCTTTACGCCCAGCATTCCGCACATCGTGTGGTTTTGCCGTGTCCTCCGTAATTGGTCCACGACGATGCCATGTGATAACGTCGCCATGTCACGGCGCATTACGTTACGTCATGTGACGTCAAACAGGTGAATGCGTCACTCGCGTTCACGCCGCCGACGCGCACTTCTCGCTTTTCACGAGCCATCTAAAGCTTTCCGCCTATATATTCTACAATGGGCCACAATACCTACTACTACTACTGTAAAATCCGAAGACTCCTTTCGTGGAAAACCGGGTTCAAAGGACGCCTGGAGACGAAGAGCAGAGCGTCTCGACGTCCGTTTATTACGGCGTAGATCCAAGAACCACCCCTGTGCCACGCACCATCCTTCGTCCTTCTCTTCCTCTCCTGCACCTTATGTCTACTGCTTTTAACAGCTGCTGCTGCTGCTGCTACTACTACTACTACTACTACTACTACTACTACTACTACTACTACTACTACTACTACTGTGCCTATATACGAGTACGACAAACGCAACGAAACTTCGTAGAGAAAAAAAAAACAATAACGCAATCATGACAGTTTCAACTCTCAACGCGGCTCCATGGATGAGGGCGATGAGTTATAAAGCTACGCGTCACTACCCCATCTATTCGGATGCCATCAAGCAGCGGCAGCTTGTGTTGTATAACCGGCAAAAAAAAAAAAAAAAACAGTAAATAGAATAAAAACAGCCGCGCCAATAGAGCTGCACGCAGCAATGTCCTAATGACTTGCCGGCAGGAAAGCTCAACGAGCCAACGTCACGACGATCCCACTGTTTCCTCTTTTTTCCCCCCGACGCATTTCACTGGGACTCGTTATTCATTTCGGGATAACATTAAAAGGAGAGCTGACGCTCTGAACGCCGTTGTACGGGGAGTCCCGAATAGAAGATATACCCGAAGCACATCGACTACAGCTACGTTAAAGAAAGAAGAAGGAAAGAAGAAAATAAAAACGGCACGAGATGGAAAGCGAAGACAGGGAGAACGGAGGAGAGAGGAAACACGTGCATAATAAATGCTTCCGCGCAGGCAACGACGTGCTCTTTTTTTATCCTTTTTCTTTCTTACACGCGCGTATGGTACAAGTCGTGAAACTGCGATCCCATCCATCATCAATCGATGGATGTTTTCACCGACACAAAAGCTTCCCTCGAGGAGACGCGCAAGAAAATCAAGTCGCAAAACGAGCCACAGAAAAAGGAACAAGAATGAGCATCAACATCTTGCCACAATCGGCGATATCGTAAGAAATAAAAAACAATCATTAAAAACTACAACTATGCCGTTTTGGCGATATATATATATATATATATATATATATATATATATATATATATATATATATATATATATATATATATGCGGATAATTACCAGTACGGCCCGTACAGGTGCTTAGTAACAATTTTCTTGTGTGAGGTGGGGGTGGCCAGTTATCCTCTGTATGTTTGTACCAGTGTTCATACGTGTGCGTGTATATTTGCACAGAACAACCTTTCGTCGTCCCCCCCCTCCTACGCAAATGAGCTCGTCCGCTACGTACATGGCTCTACAACCCAGAGAACGAGCTCGAAATGAACGGGTTCGAAGGAGAAGTATTGAAAAGTTGGAAGATGGTAGGAGCAAAAGCGCGAGCGCCAACCGAGACGGTGCGCCCACGGTACGTTTCGTGTACATGGTTGGAACAGGGCTGCCGCGTGCGGTATCAAAACCACAACGTGAAGCTCAGCAGCGGAACGCCATGGTCAGAA